TGATTTGTTTAAGTTTAAAAAAATGTTTGTGTCCTTTTCTTTTTTTTCCCTTTCTTCATTTTTTATTGACTTTTTGCTTTGTGAACCATATTGGACTATTTATACGCCTGCCAACGCCTGCCTGGGGAAATAGGTCTGGCGGTAAAATCTAAATACCTGTCAATATTTATCGAGTAAATTTTTCTTTTATTAAATATATGTACTTTTATAGACTCTAAAGTTAATGTTTTTACCAAACACAATGAGAGAGAGAGAGAGAGAGAGAGAGAGAGAGAGAGAGAGAGAGAGAGAGAGAGAGAGAGAGAGAGAGAGAGAGAAAGTACCGGTAGACCAACTCCCGTGATAATTTACGACCGAGATGAAAGAATTTCAAAAGACAAATGCAATCACGAAAAGTGAAAAAGGTTATTAAACTTTGTACTTCGTAAAGCCATTTAAATATTCTTATTTTTTCTAAATGATTATTTATTCTGTTAATTAATTAGATACATTGTCAGTCAGGTCAAATACGGAACAATTCTCTTGTAAAATGGCAAATCTTTCCAAAGTAGCAATTGTTTGATTAATCATGTAATATGTGTATTGAACTAATTCAACAACTTTTAAAAATTATTTTAAGGTAAATTTGTCAACTTTGTCAAGAATATAGGTCAATAATATTACAAAAAAATTAATTGATATGAAAAAATGACTTATTGTTAGGAAAATATTTATATGAAAAATGGGGGAAATTAAAAATAAAAAAAAAATTGGCACGTGTCTTTAATCAGTGAGAGTTATTTTTCTTTGATACTAACATGCACATATCTTCAAATAAAAATACTTACGCTAGAATTATAAAATTTTTAATTGGTATCTAGGCTTTAGAACAGTTAATTTTATTAATATATATTATTTTTTTGCTTATTCTTAACAATATAAGGGGCTTTTCGGTGGCATTTCGGTGATTTCTTGGGGCATTTCGGTGATTACAGGGCATTCCGGTGATTCGTAGTACCGGTTTATGAGGGTCACAATGTAAATCTATGACATTTATTTTTAAGGAATTACATTGTATATATTTTCCTCCAACAATGGCCAACATAGTGAATATTTACAAAATAATCCTTGGAAGTTGAATTTCTGCTTGTTTCCTTTGTTGTATGGATACGTATTATAGATTATATAACATGGGCCAAATGATTCGTACACACCTGCCGCTAACTTGGTGTTCACATCCCATGCAAGCCCTCCTTTCTCAGTGGTATGACGGGATCCGGTTGGCACCTTATTTACATGTTTACATTCAGTGTAACCACACTGAACATAGAGAATTTGTCCGAGACCGAAATTCCTCTCGCCGACGATGTTCAATAACTGCAAGGGTTGTGAGCAGAGCTGGCATGATTTCAAACCTTCGGCCAAGACTCCCAACTCAACAACCCTGCATCCCTCCAACCAACTACCCAATGTTTCCACTTCTTCCACGGCCCCCACGTCTGCATGTACGTCACAGGTGCTTTCTGTTACTTCGAAATTACCTTGCGCATATTGATGATCATCTTTTTTATACCTTTTTTCTCCTAACTTCTTTTAACTTAAATAATCGTGCTGCAGTGGACTTCTTAACAAACGGCATAATTAACTATTTACTCGGTGATTCATTACAGGTGACAGATGGTGTTTCATTGTTTGTTGTCGTTAGGAAAGTCGGAAGTTTACGTATAAAAGAGAAGACGTATTTCGAACGGAACAGACAGAGACAAACTAAAACTGCAATTGTGACGTCAAACAGCGCTGCTCTGACGTGGAACGACCTAGGTCGCCCCTTGATATTGTGAATTGCATCCGTTTGTTGGTATACAGGCACATGTGCAAGCATCAACTAATCCCACACAAAGCACCAAGATGTAATGCCAAGAGGATTCTCATTCTCATTACAATCGCCAAATAATAAATATTGAAGTCTAAGTTGGACCTTTTAAATTATTTGTTGTCTGGTTATTCCAAATACCTTTTTCATTTTGATGAATTCATTTGATAAATGAGATGAATTTTCAATGATGTTATTTCAAAAAATTAGTGAAACTCCTTGACAAGATTAAAGATTACAGACTTAGATCATTTTTATTCCAATAAATCATTGCGTAGAAAAAATTATAAAATGTTTTATCGAAACAAAGATTATGGAATAAAACATTTATAAAGTAACTGGTTTTTCGGACAAAAAAAGAAAAAACAAAAACAAACAAATAAAAAAAAAACAGGAATATATAGTTAATCAATGTGTATTTGTTGAGGATAGCTGTTGTTTTTCATAGAAATTAAAGAACGGAAATCTTTAAAGTCACACTGCATTTAAATATTCTTAAAAATTATAAATTATTTTGAAACGTGAAGTTACAAAAGACTTCTTTAGCACACTGTATGAACTTAAATAATTATGATTATTCAATAAAGCAATTTATATTTTAATGGACCGTGAAATTTGTCGCTGAGATTGAGAAAACACTTTGTATTTAAACAAATAGTCCCCATGACTTGGTCTTCATCAGATTTTCTGAAAATATGAGAATTTAAGATATTCATGAGTAAATATTCGAAAATCAAGTCTTTCAAAACGTTTCATATTTAAAAGCAGTTCTGTTGAATTTTTGATATTAGGCTTGTCCTGGATAAAGCGAACATTTTGAATAATTTACAAAATAGATGAACTAGACCATTTTTCTAATTTTGGCACGTTGTTTGGAAGTGAAATTTTCGCAACTATGGTACAATTGATTTAATTATAAAAGTTTGAGACTAAACATTAAAGGTGTTGGATAATAAGTGATTGAAACACCATTGTTTTTGGACTTTTGAGATGAAAATGTTCACAAAATAAAAGCTCTATTAAACAGGAGCGACACAATATGATTAGAAATCTATTATGGTTAATATTTTTAAAAGTACACTATAAATCACAAAAAAAGTTTGATGCTTTATACACAACTTAATACACAATCATTCCCCACGATAAATTAAAGTCCAGGCTTTTTGATAATGAAAATGATTAAAAAATAAAAGCTGTATGAAACAGATGCGACACAATATGATTTAGCATTAATCTATATTATGGTAAATATTACTAATAGTAATAGTAGTATAATTTCGGTTGCTATCTAATTTATTCCTTATAATTCAATAATTAAATATATAAAACCAAGACAATTTATCCATTTAAAACGCCTTCAAATTGTTTATTTTTTAAACGTAAAGTCAAGCACATTAATACAAATTTTGACGAAAGTCATTGTGTCTTAGGCAAACCGGATTATTCAATATTACAAAAAATTCTTAAGTCATGCATTGAAAATCTGCTTCCTATTGTTACGAACATAATCAACTAAATCCTTGACATAACCATCGGTACCATTATCATTTAAAGAAGCCATTGCCCGCCCATTTCTAAAGAAACAAGGACTCGATGCAGATGAATTCAAGAACTACCGCCCGTTTCCAACCATCCTTTCATCTTGAAAATGTGGTTAGTACACGAATAGAACATCATCTTGTGGCAAACAATATACATGATACTTACCAATCTGCATATCAAGTACACCATTCCACATAGACAGCCCTCCTGAAGATGCATGATGATAGCGTTTCAGTACTAGAGTCCAACTCATGTGCAGGTCTATTGATGTTAGATTTGTCAGACGTGATAGCTCATATCCTACTTAATCGTCTCAAATTTTACTATGGCATCTGTGGTGACGCTCTACTTTGGAAAGAATCGTACCTTAACAACAGATATCAACGAGTCGCGGTTCAATCATCCATGTCATCTGATTGTCAACTAAAATTCGGAGTTCCATAAAGGTCTGTCTTAGGTCCTAAGCTATAATGCATTTTTTCAAAACCCATTGGTGAGATCTGTCGTAAACATGGAATGTCCCTTCATCGCTACGCTGATGATACTTAGGTATATATGATCATCTTGACAAAACAGAATTAAGTCTTATTGTCTTTAGGGCAAAACACAGATCCCGGGATTTCGCAAATTACAGTTTGAATTTTGATGGTCGAATCATAAATGTATCGTCCTGTGTTAGAAATTTAGGTGTATGTTTTGATTGGTCACTAAGTATGCAAGCATAAAAACCACAAGGTTACTCACTTTGTTTGCAGTCTTGGTAAACACGAGATTTCCATATCACAAAAAATTCAAAGGTAGATAAGGGAGAAAACGCAGTTTGATAATTTGTCGGTATGCCAAGTGTGTTAAAGAACCAACGACATCAAATCCTAAGTATTCCATTCTAATACATTCCTTTCTTTCGCAGCATAATACCTTCATCACCTTCATACGGAGCATGCTCAACGTATGAACAATTTCCTAAACAAGCTTTATCATTGACAAACAAGTTGATAAAACAAGGTGGATACAATGACCTTGTCGGCAAATACAACTTGATCATGGAGGCAATTCCTGACTGACTCTTTCATAGCCGACCTTTTCTACATTTATATGAAGCAGACGTTGTGCAAAATCTTATATGTGAACAGAAGAAAACACTTGCTGTGGCCTTCAACTCGATAATGTAGGGGTAAGCATTCCCCGTTGACTGAACAATCCTGCTGTAGGCACCGTACATTGAACAAATGTACAAAAGTAGGCGAAACGTACTTGAATTTCAGAGAAAAATTGTTCAGCCGTCACTTGTTTTGAGCCATGCATGGGTTTTTCACCCACTTTTCATCAGTTTAACGTACATGAAGAATAGATACATGGCAGCAATAATATAAAGAAACTATCTACGAATCAGTTTCGTTGAGGATTTAATGATAGTTTTTATTTTTTTTTTATTTTTTTTTTTTTAAATCATTCACTCAAAAAAATGAAGAAATGCTCTGTCTAGGAGACGGAGTTTATTCCTTTTGTCTTACTTAATTTGAGCGTAAAATAAAAAAAAAGTATGTGAAGTTTCATTACAAACTTAGATAATTTACAAATGTTTATATCATTAAACAACAAGGTATTGATTGTTTCCAATATATTCTATGGAAATTTAGTGTTTTACTTAAAAATGTCTACAATAGAGATTCCATCTTTCTGAAAAAGGAATTTCGTTCCATTGTCTGACATATGAACAGGAGCTGGTCTGTAACGAAGAGCCTTGATAATATCCTAAAAATAAAGAAAAATATCAAATATATGTTATGTAAGGTAGAAAAATAAGAAATATATTTTATGTAAGGTAGAAACAGATTGGTATAAAGAGAAAAGCATTTCGTTTGAACAGCTTCATGTTGTAGAATAACTTGCATAACTTGTATTAAAAAATATATATTTTCGTTTGTGAATTTTTTTCACTTCGTTGTTGTTGGTTTTTTTATTTAAATTTATTATTCTTTTTTAATGTTCTCATGCAAAACATATTTTTTGAACTTGTGGTTTAATTCTCCTCTTTTCAGAGCACTTTTTTCATTATGGTGCAAAATTCAAATATTGTCTATTAGTGCGAATTGGACAAGATTCTTGTACAAATTTTATTGGTTAAATAGATGTATTTTCATTGTCATTAATTAATATCATTGTGTATAAAGTGCATGGAGAGACGTTAAATTGCTATTTTTTTTAACAAATCATTTTTACATCACACATCAATAATTTTTTATACTTAACTGCTATTTTTCACTATGCAAGATTTTTATTGTTTATATTTGTGGCTTTATCTTAAAAAAATATGAATAAACTTTGATGATATGCCTTCGTTTTCAAACAAAAAAAGTTGTCTTAGCATGCCTTTATATTTGCAAAATATCTTTATTCATATCTCAGCGCAAATCACTGAAGTGTAATGCTCAGAATTGATGCTTTAAGTGTCAAGAGTGCAAGACCTTTTAATTTGGTACGCTTCGAAAATTCAGTTTTTTAGATCAGATCTGTAATATTTAAATTATCTTTAAATAATTCAAATATTTATTTATATTGAGTGTATTGAGTGTTAAAGTTAAACAGAAGCAAATTTTCATTTGACCAAGAAAAAAAACATATTGTGCATGTGTCAGGAGTGCAACAGATCTAGAATAAAAATGTAGTTTTGGAAAAAAAGCCAAACTTCTAAATCTAAAAGTATAAATAAAAACTTAAATGAAAATAATACATGTATACAATTTCTAATTCAGAAGCATGATTAACATGATTAATGATTAGGCAAGTACCCCTTAATACCCAATACTGTGCACCATGTATATGATGGCTCTTTTCTCATCATTAAGAAAATTATCATTACATATTTCCTGTTTTTTAGGGAAATAATGACAAAATGAACTTGCTGAAGATCTATGTTACTATGGTTAATATTAAGAAATATTCTCACAATTTGCAGAATCGAAGAATGTAAAAATTTTTAGGAGAATTCTTATTCAAATTTATTTCATTAATATCTTTGTGTTGCAGAACATCCAATTGCGATCAAAATCAACAAAACTCATAAGCCAATACCTTTATCAGGTGTCAGGATTCACTCGCTCAATATGAACAATTGAAAGTGTAAAATGAATTCGGATTACAAAAGTTCAGAAATGAAAATTTGTGCTCAAACATAATTCAGGGAACCAATATTATGGATACAACTAAATACTATAGAACCTGACCATTAAGATAATTAATCGGTTACTCCTCCTCCAATTCTATTAGTTCAGTGTGTCAATGAAAAGCTAATGCAGCTACATATCGGATTTTTTTATTACGTAAAATTTTGGCTACAATAACAAATAAAGATTAAGTAACCCTTGTTTACATTAAAAGCCCGTTAATACCAGTATTATTCAGCAACAAAAGAACAATGTCAAAAAACTTCCAAACCAAACATTACTGTAAATGAAATTACAGAGTATCCACCCTGTCTTCTATCAGTAGTCTAGGGATTAAAAGAAAACAAAAGTGACGGATCGTAGAAATAAGATTAAGTGCCTGTCTCAGAGAAAACCATGCAAAATGGTCCAGAGGCAAGTTTCTCTGATCGCCTTCAAACTTTGTGAGCCAAATCTAGCATGCATGAATGAAACTCAACCAAATTTTTATCGGGCTGATCAAACTTGTATAAGTTTTATGGCCTGTTACTAAAAATAGCTCATATGCAACAAAATTAGAGGTAATTTTTTAAACATTTTAGTCATATTTTGAGGAGAAATAAAATTGCAATTTTACAAGCTAATTAGATATTCTTTTTTGTAGTAAAAGGATAAAAGTTAGTTCTTCACAAATGCATAGTCAAAATGATTAACATCCATTTTGTTTTAGTGCAAAAAGGTCATGAAATTGGCACTTTTCCAATTTTTGGAAAAAGTGACAATTTTAGGTAGAATTGATATTGCTGTAACAACCAGCGAGGGTATTTGAATCCAATAAATGTTGTTGCTTATTGTTAAGGATGCTTATGTTAACAAAATGTGAAAAAACTGTCGTTGGCAAATATATATTTTAGAAAATATTGAAAGTCAAAGTTTGTTAAATTTTCAAATCAAAAATTTGAAGAATACAGTAAACGTTAATTATAAAGTACCTAAAAACCTTCTCCAAAAATAAAGAAAAAAAAAATTCTTGATTTTTTTTATCAGTATTTCAGAATTTAGACATACATAGCCCACAATTCAATAAATAATGACTGAATCCAAAAAAAAAAAAAAAATCATAAAAAGGGAGGGGGGATTTATGAATTCCTTATAAACCATTACATGGATAATGTAAAAGCCTTAAATTTAATTACCTTTTATACACATTTGCTAGATAGTTACTAAAGTGAACACATCATTCATCATACTAGTCATTCGATCAACATATTCATTTGAGTTTTAAGGGGACGACCATTTGATTCTGAGGGGGGGGAAGGGGGGGGGGGCTGGCAGATTTTAGAAATAAATAATCTGTCCTTGACAATGTTGAAAAATAAATAATCTGCCCTCCACTGCAAAGAAAATAAATAATCTGACATTGACTGATGATATTCAATTATTGTGAGAAATACCTTTTTTATTTCAGTGTAATTTAACCTCGCCATCTTCAATTCACCTATTTCTTTTGGCTCGCTTCGCTCGCCATTTTAGAACCAAATAGTATTAATAAAATGAGATAAAAAAAAATCCTTGTGCACGTAACATTGCATCAATCCGATTGGCAATCTTTTTATATAAATGTGAGAAGAAAGAAGATGAATGTATGACCATGATGACCACTACCACAAGCATCATTGATAAGACAATACTTGCGGTACAGACTAGATACTAGTAGTCAGTTAACCTACACGACAATGTGCACTCAGTTGGTGTGATGAATCACTTAAATACAAGCAAATTCTAATGCACGGCAAAAAATAAATTTTCTTGTAAAAAAAATTATACCTACACTGTAGCAATGTTAATATAGCCCAATTTTTTTTTATTTTAAGAATCACTGGCGAATTGAAGTGGGACGTAGGGGGGGGGGGGTATGATAATAATGATATTAATAATGCTTTGGTACAATACCACTATTTTTGTGCCTAGTTTTACTCTTAAAATACACGAAAACCCAGGAGTTTCCGGGGGCTTTGCCCCCTGGACCCCCTTCAATCAAATAAATATGACATGACTAGCATTAATAATGTCATACTTTGGTACATAACTAACAAATACCACTACTTTTGTGCCTAGCTGTACTCTAAGACAAAGAAGAAAATAAATAATCTGTCCTTAATACTCTTGAAAATAAATGATCTTCCCTTGACTGGCATGAAAATAAATAATCTGTCTCAACAAAATTTGCCACCCCCCCCCCTTCAGAATCAAATAGTCATCCCTTAAGAGGAACAATTTCTTCAAATTTCAAATTTCATCGATACAAACATTGAGATATTTCAGACAACTGCTTTTTTTATGGAGGAGGTGCAATGAATTGATTTTTTTTTTGACGAATGAAACAATACGTACACTCTCTTCTTTGTGAGCTATTCAACTCAACTTGAATTCTTCTACAATTAAACACAATCTGGACAATTTACTGTTCTCTCACATTCTTCCAGGGACGTAGCAACAAGGGAGGGGGGGGGGCACAAAATAGGATTTTCGACTTTGATGAATATAATTTTCGATTTTTTTTCCCTTGTCAACTTTTTCAGGTAAGTGAAAAAAAATTTCTCTGGTTGGCCCCCCTACTTTCAAAAACGATGCTAAGTGCCTGTCTTTATACTTTGAAATGAAATATTATTGTAAATTTCAAGGGCAAAGGTATTTACATGTATCATAATTAATTGTCCCCCGCTTAAGGTCATACGCAACGTAGTTTGAACATTATTGGGTTCTTCCCTGGACTTGAAGAGTTCCACTAAATGAAGGACCTGTGTGCAATGCTTTACATGTCTACATACAAATTTATACACCTCTTCTAAAACAAATTTGATGGGAAAAAAATCTGGAATTTATGTTTTGTAATTTTTGTATATTTTTCTTTGAATAAAGCTAAAATTTTCATAATATGATATCTTCCCAAAAACCCTGGTAATGCATGTTGATTTTTTGCCTGTGAACATCTGATGTCAATATAATCTTTAATTAAGAATATCTTGAAAAGTTATCAGTAGATAAATTACGTTGCGAATGTCCTTAAAAAGTGGAGGATATTAATTTGGGTCTGTCTGTCTGTCCGTCTTTCTGTCTGTCTGTCTGTAACGCCTTTGTTTCCACACGATATCTCGAGAACCCTCTTAACTTTTTACAATTAAATTTTAAAGAACAACTCCCTGTGGCCGAAGGAATTACCCTATTGATTTTGAAGTCAAATGTTCGAAGTTCATGGTTGAAAATTTATACATTTTGTCTGTGTGTAACACTATCCTTTTCGGGCGATATTTCAAGAAGATTTTGAGCTTTTGCAAAACTCCCTAGGACCTCTCTCACCCTTTTCAAAGTCCCCCCCCCCCGTTTGTTTTATTAGTATTTATTGTATTACATGTCGCTATTTTCAGCACATGGGCATGAAGAGACTTATAACGTATAAAACAGGTTCTCGGCGGGTTTTATATACTTATTACATCTATTAGAACTGTTTATTAAAAGTTAAATTAGACACCATGCATTGTATAAAATTATGACAATTATCGAATGTGAATATAAACATGTATGTGACTTCATCTTTGCATATAAAATTATCGCCAGGTAAAAGCAGTTCCAATGTGTAGTGATACGTTTCTCGCTTCCCATGTGAGAGGTCCCGGGTTTGAATCCCGGACGATCCATTTTTTTCCGATTTTTTTTTTACTAAATGATAGTTTTCAGCATGTAAAATGAAAAATTTATGAGGTATGGCTTGTACAAACTCATAAAATCATCATTACAGTATGATAATTATTCCACATAAAAAGAATCTTCTATACACATAAAAAGAATAAGCAATCAAATCTTTATAAATATCCATATTGGCATATTTTATTTGCTTCAGTATACATGTATACTAATCCGAAATTTCCCGCACAAATCACAGGCCTGCGCGTAGCATCGTTTTTGAAAGGGGGGGGGGCAGCCAGAGAATTTTTTTTACTTACCTGAAAAAGTTGACAAGCAAAAAAAAAAAAAAGAAAAAAGTTTGCCCGAAGTCGCAAAAAATCCTAAAATCCTATTTCGGGGGGGTGGGGGGGGGGGGGGGGTGGGGGGTGGGGGGGGGTAGGTAAACTTTTCCTCAGTCTCAACTATTTTCATTATCAATTCTAATACTACATTTGCAGTTCATTGTTTAGAATCAGAGGAATCTAGGATTACATGTATACATTTGATAATTCTACAAATTCAGTCAAGGGGATCCATCTCCCCACCCCCTCTAATACTACATTTGCAGTTCATCACTAAAGTGAGGGGGCCAACCACGCTTTCAATTGACATTTCCTATAGTATGAGTAAGGTTGGGAAAGAAAGTGGGGGGCCTGGGCCCCCCTGCCACCCCCCCCCTGTTGCTACGCCCCTGAGTCATAATATACACTGTAAAAGCGGGGTTTAGAATCAGAGAAATCTCGGATTACATGTATACATTTGATAATTCTACAAATTCAGTCAAGGGGATGCGTCTCCCCACCCCCTCCCCTCGAACTGCGCATTGTTTACATTTGCCCTTACGGAAGACATATAAATTCTCTTACGGTGTCCCAGGCTTGACAAAAAAGACTTAATACACTCTGAGAACTTCAAACATGCTAGACGTTTTTCAGTGCTTCTGTCACAATCAACTACACGAGATATTCCTCTGTTTCATGACACGGAATTTAGGAAAATTTATAAAAATCACATCCTTGTGAATTTTTACTCATTTTGTTTGCATTAAATTGTGAGTTTTTCCATAGAAAGTTGACTGCTTTTATGTGTCATTATTAATTTCCCCATAGACATTTTCCAGTGCAATTATTTACTTTTAAAAAAAGGAGAGTTGCGCAAGGGGACCTAACTCTGACTAGGCAAATGCAAAAAATTTAAATATTAATATTAGAATTAAAGGCATTTAAATGAAAAAAATATTTCTTTTTTATTAATAAACAATTTCTAAAAATTTATTATGTCATGAAAATACCATTTAATCATTTATGTAACATTTTTTAGCATGAAATTTCATGTTTTAATTTAAGATTAATATTGAAAAATTCACCCGTAATTGGAATTTTTTTCTGTGGTGCAGAGTTGTTTGCCAACGACAATTTTTTAATATGTTTTTCTTCTATATTGAATAAATTCAAAACAGTATAATTCAAATAAAAAAATCATCCTCGCTTCAAGATACGATTAACCAAACTTTGAAAAAAAAAGCCTTGATTGCTAAAATCTAGATTCTTTGTATATTCCCTGATATAATGTGGCTAAATACAAAATATATATGTAATTTTTTTTTAATGAATATAATTAACTACTATTGCACTTTCATAACATATGCAACATTGAAATAAAAATTATAGCAAATATGTTTAAAAGACGCACTTAAAATGCATCATTTTCAATGAATGTCAATGCTCGTTTTACACTTTTTTATAGGAAAACAAATAATCCCCGTTACTAAAAATAGAAACAACTTACGACAAAATGTAAATCATATTTTAGGTCATTTGGACCAAATCTTTATTTGTATGGGTCACTTTTAAATTTACTACGATATTGCATCTGGACAATTTTTTTCAATTTGCATGGTTTTCTCTGAGACAGGCACTTAAAACAAGGAAAATATTTTACCGGATATGACGTAGAGTCGTCCTGTTGTGAGGATAACGCCACAGGTTGAACTTCCGTGATAAGCAGATATCCGTACAATGCCGGGCCAAACGTAGGGAAGGGGTCTCTCAGCCTAATTCAAAATAACTTAACATATGAATACATGGAGAAAACGAACAGTCTTCAAGATCAAAAGTCCATTAAAACTTACAAAACAGGAAAAGAGCAAATATGGACCTAGAAAACACCAGACGTGGTATCAGGTGCCATGGAAGAGTGACTATCCCTGTCGACAGGTCAGATCCGCTAAGTGATTATTGTCATGTTCGGAAAAAATTGAAATTCTGTCGTCTATTCAGTGTATAAATAATGGCCTAACAATTAGTATGAAAAACATCGGTCGACATTTGACTCAATGATAAATAGTATTTTGCTGACAAGTTCATTGTATCGACCATAGAACTTGGTTAAGGAGATTGCTTATATTCTTGCTTAACCCGTTATTTCCCATGACAAGTAGCTAACAGCTGGTGTGACCGGTCGGCATGGATGCTTATTCCTCCATGGAATCTGATCCAAATTTTAATGTTTAAGTTGTTCGTGTTTGTTCTGCTCCTGATTTGTAGTTTTTAATGGATCAACTACTATTTGCTATACAATAAATTCCATTGTTAATTATTCATTCTTAAATTATTTCCTATTCATTTCAATCTTAATGATTCCCCAAAATTAGGACTTTGATAGAAAATAGACTATTTTTTACTCCCTTCGGCCATTTCGGTATGAATTAAAAAAAGTAAAAGAAACATTCTCTAAAGTTTAAACTGGTATCTTATAGATTTGTAACACTCTAACTGTGTTAACACTTCTACCATTTATACCAGGTTCAAGGACTTGTTAGACACATACCTTATAGATTTGTAACACTCTAATTGTGTAAACACTTCTACCATTTATTCCAGGTCGCTGGACTTGTTAGACACGTGCCTTATAGATTTGTAACACTCTAATTGTGTAAACACTTCTACCATTTATTCCAGGTTGCTGGACTTGTTAGACACGTGCCTTATAGATTTGTAACACTCTAATTGTGTAAACACTTCTACCATTTATTCCAGGTCGCTGGACTTGTTAGACACGTGCCTTATAGATTTGTAACACTCTAACTGCACTTCTACCATTTGTTCCAGGTCGCTGGACTTGTTAGACACATACCTTATAGATTTGTAACACTCTAACTGTGTAAACACTTCTACCATTTATTCCAGGTCGCTGGACTTGTCGTCTTAGTACGTCTCCCAGGATGGCTAAAATGAAATTAAGAATTAAAAATTATATTTAAAAAACTTGTGTGCATGGACTAACATATCTCTATTATTTTTTTCTGTTTTTTAAAACAAATATTTAAAAAAAAAAAGATCTTAAAGAGAATAAAGAAGTAAGACTTACAATATTGTGAATCACAACCGTTTGGTGGATAATCGGGGCAATAGCAAGCATCACCCAGTCCTACACATAGAACCAACAAATGCACTGCCAACAGGAACCTCATAGTTCCGGATACAGTCGAATAGAACTGAACTCTGAATTATCAGCTGTTCTTTTAAGTTATATTTTGTCAGGGAATTCCAACTTCCTTTTCATTTTGATGAATTCTAATTGCATGAGCATTTGATCAATTTTAAATGCATGAGCATTTGATAAATAAGGTGATTTTTCAAAGATGTTATTTAAAACAATTTGTAATACTCTCATGCTACAAAACAATAAAGATTACAAACACTTCAATTATCATTTGACAAAACATTGTGGACAGGGAATTATGCAATGTTTGACTGCAAAAATTTTTTTGGAAAAAACGATTAATGAAGTAAATGGTTTCTTTGGTCAAACAAAACATTGTAGTTAAGTGTTTGAATTGCTTTAAATAGATGCTAATTTTAATTATGCCTTTAGTGTTAAAAAAATTAAAATGTTTAAAATCACATACATGTATTCAAAGATACGAAACTTTTAAAACCGATGGAAAAAATATGTTTAGAAAATTATCTTTTCATATGATGATTTTTTCAATATTATACATTATATTATACATTATGTTACTGAGATAGAGGAAACCAGCATCTCCATGTCTAAAAGCTTAGCAAAAAGCAGCATCCTATTCAAGATTTTGCAAAAAGATATTGTAAGGTGGAAATGTCCCTTGTACATCAAAATCAGTTTCAAAGGTGTTAGATATTGATTGATCGACACGCTATTATTTTCGGATTAAACCAAAAAAGGGATGAAGGTAAAACAAAGTATATCAAAAATCCATAGCAAATTAGTTAATTTGACATAAAACATGGACACTGAATATTCTAAAATTGGAATAAAAAGCATTGTCATGTTGTATAGGTAGATGCGACCAAATATGAAAAAGTTTACATCCATAGAAAATACATTTATGGAATCAAATAGGGTAAATATTATTAGAAAAATATCATTAACAAGAACAACTTTTTGTTGAATATTGTTTCAATTTTTGGAGGCTGGAGATAATACGGCGTCCCCGAGCAATGAAGCATTACTACATTGTGTAAGTCGTCATATTCTCATTGTCACGATCGGAAAAAAATCAGTTGACAATTAAGGAGGAACAGGACCTTTCGCTGAAAAAATTCCTGTCAGTGAATTTTTTTCGTATTTTTTATATTACTAATTTAATATGTACTTAACATTTTAAAACGCTCCTTGCATGGGATTTCTTGACTTATTTAAAAGATATCGCCCCACAAATACCGCCCTGTTTAGAGTTTGTATGGAGTTTAGATATTTCATGTTTACGGGCCCAAAACGGAGTCCATAATGCTATTTTTTACGCACAAACGATAAATATGATAGATAATACTATATTATCAAATATTTCAGAATATTCGTAGTGTTTAAATTATCTGAAAGCAATTGTTTTAATTTTATATAGTATTTGGGTGGGATAATTTCTGCATTTTTCAAGGCAACTTCAACGAAAACCTCATTTGGAAAAAAATTCTGTCAATAAATATTTCTAAATTTACGATTGAATGTCAATCCTTCATCGTAATTATTTACTGCATAAATATCACTGGGTAAAGCTTACCTCAATATCGCACAGGACATCGTTGAATTAGACGTAAGCATGATAAAACGCTTCACGTTCGTATTTTCCGAGTGCGGGAAATCAATTGTGACGTCACACAAAAACATAAACATTCAAAATTATCTAAATAGAGAGAATCTCTGCTACTAAACACGAAAAAATATTAATTAAAAAAAATCTGCTTCAGAAATTTATCACGATACATTGATTGTGACCTGTTTATTTTGAAATAAAACTGTTCATGACGGATGTGTGTACTTGATCTCGCTGCACTGAGAATTCAAACACTACGTCTATGACGTCACTGACGTCAGGCTGCAGGGTAAAGAGAATCAAATGTGACAACAGATGATTTGAGTCTATCGACAAAGTCTTGACCAGGCGACTGGAGACGTTTACTCCTCAATGGTACCTGACACCCCCCCCCCCTTTTAATTTTTTTAGAGGTCGCTGTCTGCTCTGCTTCCGATTTTTATTGAAACAATGGACTTTTGAGCTTGTATACTGTTCTTTTTTTCTCCACTTTTCATTCATCTCTTATGTAAGACCTTTGAAACACAGAAATAAACACGATTATGAGTAGTCGACTGAAAGTGTTGTTGAATAAAGGAGAGATTATAACATGTCAGAAAGTTTATGGAAGGAAAGGCAATAAAACATGATATTTTCTGATCATCTGGATATTGCACTTATAGGTATTTATTGTTAGTTAAACGTTTAGTCATAATAGTCATCCGTATATTAAAAACATTTTTTTTTTTAAATTTCAGAAAAAGAATGTTCAAATTATGGCCTTATATCATATAGGAGCAAAAGATGAGTCAGAAAAAATTTAATATGGGCATGTGTCAGGAAAATCTTGACAATTGCTACGGCATAAAAGCAAAATCTTTATAAATTCTTTTTAATCCTCTTATGAAAGCAATTTCATCATAAATCTTATTGATTTACAAGCATCCTCGGCTTTGTAAGACTGATTAAGAGCAACAGAAATATGTTAAGGCTACAATAGGCTACAATAGCGGCAATCTATTCATACTGATGTTGAAGTGTTTTTTTTTTTTTTTCAAGTTTGATTATTTTGAAATTTCACATGTAGTTTCGTGGTGCTAGGTTTTGCCAGTAATGAGATAAAGGGAGAAACGAAGAGTTTCTATGCTCTAAAGTCCTTTCTTACAATATAAATCAAGAACAGAGCACACACTGACCCCCAAACACATTACAGGTGGGATCACATGTTTCATTTTGTCATTAGAGGTGGGATTAGGTGCCATAGAGGAGTAAGAATCCCTTGCTGACCGGTCACACACGCCATGAACTTCTTGTCATAATCGAAAAAAACGATAAACAATAAAATGTAGGTAATTCAGTATCTAAGTAATAAGCTAACTATAATTTCTATTAAAGAAAATGTCACTCAGCATTTGACACAATATGTTGTTCCATGTATATATAGTCAAGCATAGTTAAACATTTATTAAAAATCAAAAATAGGAAAAAAATCTCCTGATAGAAAAACAGGGGTCTTTATTCTTCTGGCGAGCGCTGTGTTCAGTTGATCACTTTTTCTTTTCAGAATATATAATATTCCTGTAAATTACCAGTAGTAGAAATGAAAAAGCCCAGTCATTCGATTAAGTAAGCAGAATTTTAGAGAAGAAACTTATAATTAAATTCTTGAGAAACATTTCGAAAAAAAAAAGTAAAAATAAGAAACATTGATCGATCACATAAACAAATATTAAACAGTTCAAATCCTTGAACAGGACATAAACATAAACAAAAACGGAGCCCTGAACATCCTAAAGGTGCGCATGCGTGAGAATGAAATAAATCCACGCATATATATTCTTACATCACATTTCAATATATTTTGATACAGAATAAAGTGCTAACAAGAAGCGGTGTTCTGTAAACATTTCAAACATTAATTTCTTTTGTTCATATTATGTTTATGAAAAAAATATAAGATGATAAATTTTGCTTTATTTTTTTAAGTTTTAAAACTGCTCATCCGATATATAAGTGCCTCATATTTGGCAGTTTATTTAGTTCTTGTTTTATTCCTAAGAGTCCACTCGTGTTAAAAGTCTAAGATAAATGACTACAAAACGCCATTTGTACAAGGTGCTCATTAATCACTAGTAAATTTTGTGTACTATTTCATGGGAAAGTGTTTTTGAAAGATCTCTGTATTTAAATTTTAATTTCTTTTTCTAGCAATGTCAACATCATACTTTTTTTGTTGCAGTGGAATCGATCATTGTATATTTCCCTTGCAAGCATTAAAACCACTCAGGTTACTCAGTTCGTTTGCAATCTTGGTGAACACGAGATTTCCATATCGCAAAAAAGAAAACGCAGTGTGATAATTTGTTGGTATGCCAAGTTTGTTAAAAAACTAACGACATCAAATCCTAAGTACTCCATGCTAATACATCCCTTTCTTACGCAGAAAAATACCTTCATCACCTTCATACGGAGCATGCTCAACGTATGGACAATTTCCCAAAGAAGCTTAATTATTGACAAACAAGTTGATTAAACAAGGTCGATACAATGATCTTATCGGCAAATACAATTTATCATTGAGTCAAATGCTGACTGATTATTTCATAGCAGACCTATTTTTGTATTCATATGAAGCAGACAATGTGCAAACGTGAATAGAAGAAAACACTTGCTGTGGCCTTGAACTCAACTTAAGGTATAGCGACGACGCGCTGTCAATTAACAATAGGAATGTCCATTGTAATGTCGATATAATATATCCTGTTGAGCTTAAGATTAAAGATACTATCTTCATATTTTAATATTTTATTTGAAAAATACTTTAATGGTAATCCAATAACGAAGCTCTATGATACACGTGCATCTGATGACTTTTACTTTTCTATCGTCAACTTCCCAGCGATATATCTTCATCATCTGCATACGGAGTTTACATATTTCCGTTGATTTGATACACAAGAGCATACTCCACTTATGAACAATTTCTACAACGAGGTAAATTATTGACAAACAAGTTGATGAAACAATAATTACAACATGCTCGTTTAAAGTCATCATTTTGTAAGTTCTATGGTCGATTAAATGACCTTGTCAGCAAATACATTTTATCCTTATCCATTATTTATACGCTGAATTCACGACTGATTTTTCCATTATTTCCCGATCATGACAAGGAGCACGCGGCGGCTTTGATCGGTTGGCAGTTGTGCTCACTCCTCCATCGCACCTGATCCCGCCTCTGATTTTTTGAAGGTCTGTGTTTGCTCTGCTCCTGTTTTGTATTGTTTTATAGACTTTTGATCTGGAATCCATATGTTTCATCCTAAGATTCTACAAAATTTCTATTTAATTAAGCACGTATTAAAATTATGTACTGATGCCAATTCATTACATTCTTTCAAGCAAAATTTATACTTTGATAACCTTACGTTTTCTTTTATTATGAAGTTTGCTGAATTGCCTTTATTTTTATTTATTATGGAATTCTTTATTGAGGATATAAATCTATAGATACATGTTTTTGATTTGTTTACCGAATAATTTGAAATGTTCAAGCGATATCACTTCTTATCAATGTTCTAACAAAATAACCTCGAACCTATATAAGGAGGTTAGTTATAATTATTTTAATATCTTCATTTCAGAAAGGTGAAATTCACATGATTTTATAAACGATTGTACAACAACAATGAAGATCTAAACAATTTTTATTGAGGTACATGGAGATAACGAACAGTACTTAAGCTTAAAAATATATTAAACAATACAAAATAGGAGCATAGCAAACACGGAAAGAAACTCCGAAACAAAGAAAACGAAATAAAAAAAACATGTTGCAGACTTCAACATGAATTTTAAAAAATCACAATGAGCGATCTGTCTTCATGTTCACACGTTTTAATTGTCAATGCAAATATTTTGAAGCACTCAAAATTTATTTAGGCACCAAGTCAGTATTTAAATCATCGTCTCCTATAGATTAAGCATGAAATGAAACATGATATTATAAACAGACGAAAACATCAAGTGATCAATCTAAAAAGAATTCTTTCGGGAAATGACAGAAATAAACCTGTCAAAAACTCAGCGTTTATATAATAGCTTAACAATTAGTATGAAAAATGCCGGTCAGCATGTATTTGTATTTGCTGACAAGGTTGTTGTATCGTCCATAGAACTTGCGAAAATGATGACTTTAAACGAGACTATTAATATTCTTGTTTCATCAATTTGTTGGTCAACAATTGTACATACAAATAGCCTGGTCTTCTGTACCGAATCAACTGCGGGAAATAAACTCCGTATGCAGGTGATGAATGTATATTGCTGCATAAATAAGGGAATTTGATTGAAATGTTTATCAGAAAGCTTGGTTGTTAGATAAGCATGAAAGTCTTCTTAAAGTAAACTATCCAAATATGAAACATGTGTCAGGAACAACCTTTTGAAATATTATTTGATTATACAAGTAATATTTTCATTCAATATAAAATATGTACCGGCATGAATTGAAGAACGTAAAATATAGCAATCTGAAATCCATAGTAAAATACTTTGATTTACCATGGTAAAACCTTTGATACTATAGTTACCTGTAGTAAACAATTGTAAATTAAAGTTAACTAAAGTAAACTATAGTTTCTTGAACTATGGTACATGTATTTTTGTAAGGCTTATTACCTTATGTAAATCACCAATTAGATCTTCATTACATTTGCACGTAACTTAAATATCTCTTGTTGAACTTTTTGAATATTCTTCTTAAAAAGGTCAATTAAGTCAATTTTTGATTCCTCGACAGAGAACACAAGCCCGTATTTGTGATTATGAATATTGCAAATCATAAAGTGTTCAAATTGCCATGTTTTACCGAAGAAAACGTAGCAAAAAGATCCGTTTTTTCTTAAACTTCAATATGCCAACAAAGGAACTGACAATATAATTGTCAATATGAGTAATTTTCGTAACAACAAAAGGGACCAGTCTTGAATTCCACCTTATTTCAAGTAAAACTCTTTACCTTGTATTTCCTACAAATGTATACATGTGTATAGACTATTGCTTCCTAATCTTTAAATTACAAGAAAATCTGACATGGCCTGGATATCGAATATCTGAAACACGATCCGTCATCTTGTTCATGTTTTGCCATACTCGGCAAGATTAATAAGGAGAGATGATCAAAAAAAAAAAAAAAAAAGAAAAAAGAACCCTGGATGGGTTTATATTTCTTGACATATCTTTCTCGTAAATGATGTGGACATTGAATTTCTTAATTATTGAGGAATTGTAAATTTTCTATAATGTTTAGAATTCTAGCTACCATTTCGAGACAATCCTTATTTCTCTACACAAATTTTTGTCACGTTAAATCCCATTCAATTTAAAAAAAGATCATTTCGGTTAAACATTTTTTTTACTTGTTTAATTATAACTCAAGTTGTTATTTTCCAAAATTTTTGAAAAAGAATAATTTGTATCAAGTGGGATATGAAGATAACGAAGAGTATTCAATATTAAAGTCCATAAAACAATACAAAATAGGAGTAGAGAAATCAAGGACCTTTCAAACATCAAAAGTTGGATCAGGTGCCATGGAAGAGTGAGCATCCCTGCTGATCGGTTACAGTCATCGTCATTTCAGAGTCTAAATAATGGACTAGCAATAAGTCAGTCAGCATTTGACTTAAAGATAAATTGTATTTGCCGACAAGATCATTGTATCCTTAAACAAGGACCACTGAAAATTCCAGAGGTGGGATCAGGTGCCTATAAGAAGTGAGGATCCCTTCTTGACTAACCAATCCTATCGTAGGCGCTATACATTGAACAGGGAGGAAGAAAGCTTATTTGGTTTTCAGAGAAAAATTATTCAGGCATCACTTGTCTTGAGCAATAAATGGATTTTTCATTAATCTTCAATTAGTTTGAGAAGAATAGATAACTGGCTCGTTTATATTAAATGGGTTCAATAAGCAAAGTTTACTCTATATGTGAAAATTTATCCTTTTCAAAACTAAATTATCAATGAATAAAGTCTTCAATAAACAAACGAATCAATTTAGAAGAAGTTTTATTGACAGCTTATTCCCCCCCCCCCCCCCCCAAAAAAAAAAAAACCCCAAAACAAAACAAAACAAAACGAAACGAAACAAAACCGAAAAAACAAAACAAAAAAATTCTTTGTCTAAGAGAAGGAGATTTCCCTTTACCCTTTATGTTATTCAAGCATCAAAATATTAAAAATTATTATTTATTTTCACCCTGAAAAAGAGTTTAGCGAAAGAATAGGTTAGTATCTTTAATTTAAAAGGGAAGACTATTTCCTTTTAGTCTTACTTGATTTGAAGGTAAAATTTAAAGACAGAAAGCAAAGCATGTTCCTAAAGTTTTATTATAAAGTTCACATAAGTTCATGTCGTTAAACACCAAGGTATTGAACATTTACAATTCAATGTTAATTGAAGGATTTACTCAAAGACGTCTACAAAAGAGATCCCATCTTTGTGAAAAAGGAATTTCATTCCATTGTCTGACGTATGCACAGGAGTTGGTTTCCAAAGAAGAGTCTTGATAAGTTCCTGTAAAAAAATAAAACAATGCTTGCTATGTAAGTTAGAACCAGACTGGTATTTAGAGGTAAACATTTCGTCTGAACAACATTCTGTTTGAGCAATATTTCTGTTAAAAACCTTATGCATTCGTTTCAAAATTTGTCTTCAGTTTTGTTTTCGTTTTAGATTTATTAACCTTTCTATTTTCTCTTGCAAAAAATATTAATGTAACTCGTGGTTTAATTCTCATCTTCTAGAGAATTTGATCATTATCGTGCAAAATGTACAAAATGTTACGAGGTAAAACAGATGCATTTGTCATTGTGATTAATTAATATACTTAAGGAAGAAAAAGGAAAAACGATGCTATTAAAAAAAAGAAATCATTTTTTTTACCCTTTCAAACATCATTTCTTTTTTATGCATGACATTTCTCACTATGCTGGTTATTTATTTTTTATTTGTGATTGTAATTGAAAAAAAAGATGAACAAACTATGAATAATAACTTAATTTAAAAAAGAACAAAAACAAAAAAGGATTCTTAGTATGCTTTAAAAGTGTCTTTATATAACGCTGCGTAATATTTCATTGATATCTTAATTCATTTAAAAGTTATGCTAAGAAATGATGCTATAAATGGCATGAGGGCAACACCTTTTGTGACGTTTTGGAATTTCTTTATATAATAATTTTTGAAGATCTGTGAAATAAATAAACATGGCTTATTTTGGAAATAAAGACTTCAACGCTAATATTCAGAAAATATATCGATACTTTTGTCAGGCATATGCCAGGAGCGCAACAGAAAAAAATGTAGTGATGCTAAAAAAAAACAAGATCAATTTTAAAAAAAAAACAAGATCAATTTTAAAATATAAAAAATGTAAAAAAAAAAAAAAAAAAAAAAAGTAAAATGAGCATATTAAATAATTATCACTATTTATTTCCTTGATTTTTATTTTTGGAAAATAATGAAAGGAAGAAATTTTTACAGGCATATATCTCTGTAGTTAGGAGTAGAATACACGATTTAAAGATGAAAATAAAGATCCATTGAAGAATTTATGACTTATTATTAAAAGTTTTATTATAAATTATCTGCATATATTTCATTATAAAAATCTGTCTTTTTTCAATTTTCTCAACTCAGATGTGATTTTATCTTTTCTTTTACATTTTAATGAATGTAAATCAAGTATTTCCACCTCAACTTCACTTAGACAACATAAGTTTCTCTGATGTAAACTTTTCTTCACAGTTCTGCATTAAAGCAACAAATACTTTAGAATTATTGTTGATCAAATATGAATAAATATTGATCGAGAAATAATACAGGGTATGTTTTTGGTTGATGTCGGCGGTATAAAGTGTATGTCCTGTGAAGAAATACATGTATATACACAATATGACTTGATTTTGTATTTTCCTTATAGTTTTCTGTGAATTATGAATTTTATTTTACCGCTGCTGTCAACGACAAATCAATTTTATAATATCAATGATTCTCATCTAGCTTTACTAAAATATATTTTGAAAAAAAATAATACTATTTTTCGTTCAAAATAGTATGTCAACTCACAGTTTACAGACAATTCGAAGGATATATTCCATCCCTGTTAAGAGACTAGAAAAGTGTTAATTATTCAGCAGAATTTTTATTTAAATTGATTTCATTCATATCTTGGTGTCGCAGAACATTAAAACTATCGAATTCAACAAATTTAATGAACTAATATGTCAAGTTTAAGGTGATATGATAGCTAGAGGTATAAAATGAAATCGGATTTCAAAATTTTAGAAATGGACGTTTGTGTTGAAAAGTAAGTTAGGAAACAATTGTTATGAATACAACAAAATACTACTATACTCAAGCAATAGAACCTTGCAACATAGATTATTAATCTGTTACTCATCTTCAAGTTATATTTATTAATTGTTTCAATGCCCGAGTATACTGAATTATACTATGATGTATAAAAGGATTTATAAAAAAGATAAAACAATGGTTCGCAGACATATAATTAATGAGTACAAGGTCAATAGTTTACCAGATATGACGTAGAGTCGTCCTCTTGTTAAGATAACGCCACAGGTTGCACTTCCGTGGTATGCCCGTATCCGTACAATGCCAGGCCAAACGTAGGGAAGGCGTCTCTCAGCCTAATACAAAATAAACTAAACGGATTAAATACGTGGAGAAACGAACAGTATCTGAGCTCAAAAGTCCATTAAAATTTACAAAATGGGAGCGAAGCAAATATGGATGCCCCAAAAGAGCAAAGGCGAGATCCGTTGCCATAGAGAGTGAGCATCTCCTGGCGATCACTAACACCAACCGAATGCTCCATATTATGTTCGGATAAAACGGAAAAATCCGTGGAAAACTCAGTGTGTTATTAAAGGCATGAGAATCAGCATTAGACTTAATGATAAATTGTATTTGCTGAATTGTGTCGACCATAGATCATATAACTTACGACTTTAAATAAGACTGCCTATAGTCTAGCTTTATCGACTTATTTGTCAATAACTTACCTAGTATAAGAAATTTTCATACGTAGAGTATGCTATTGAATAAGAGAGATGCTATTGAATAAGAGAGATATACAATTGTCTGCAGGTTTTTAGGTATGAAACATTTGGAGATAACGAGCAATATTTTAGATCAAAAGTCCATTTAAAAATGCAAAAGAGGGGCAGCGCAAACACGGGCCTCCAAATATATCAGAGGTGGGATCAGGTGATATAGAGGAGTGGACATCCCATTCCTACTGGTCACACTCACCGTGTTCTTCTTGTCATTGTCGGGAAATAACGGAAAAATCCATCTTCAATTCAGTGCATAAATAATGGACCAACAATTGGTATGACAAACGTCAGTCTGCGTTTGACTCAATGATAAATTGTATTCGCTGACAAGGTCATTGTATCGACCATAGAACTTACGAAATGACTTTAATCGAGACTGCTCAAATTCTACTTTCATCAACTTGTTTGTCAATAATTTACCTCATTGTAGAAATAGTTCATAAGTAGAGCATGCTCTTGAGTTTCTAATCAACTAAGATATGTAAACTCCATATGCAGATGATGAAGGTATATCGCTGCATAAGTAAGGGAAGTTGATGATAGAAATGTTAAAGTCATCACGTTTATCATAGAGCTTGGTTGTGTGATTACCATTAATGTCTTTTCAAGTAAAATATCTAAATATGAAACGGATGCGTCAGACTCTGTAGTATCTTTTATCTCAAACTCATCAGGAGACATCGTATCGACAAAGGTATGAAAATTACCATTATTAATTGACAGTACGGCGTCGAGATATCTAAATGTCGAGTTGAAAGCCACAGCAAGTGTTTTCCTTTTATCATGCATAAGATTTTGCACAAATTCCGCTTCATATGAATGCAAAAAAAAGGCCTAATAAAAACGGGGCAAAATTGGTACCCATTGGAATTGCATTAGATTGTTGGAAGACCTAGTCTCCAAAAACCACATAGATATGGTCTGACTCACACCACTTCTTGAATATATTGTTGCGCAGTATTCTTGAAGTTTCTCCTTCCTTACTGTTTATATCTTAGTGAGGAATGGAGAAAGAAGCTTGGTAGAACATTTACTGGAACCTGCAATGTATCTTTGTTTGTGTGGATTCTTATGAAGTTTCGGAATCCAATATATACAAGGCAATTGAAATAAATTTTGGTTCTTTGGGATATTCAAATATTCAAAACTTACATATGATTTTGAAGAATTGCTTCCTCAGAAAGGGAACTATGAGTATAGGTTAGATTACCACTTGTAGAATTAAAACCAAGTTCTTCTAAATACAATTTATATACGCAGCATTGTAAACGCTGAAATGAGGAGGCGGGGCCTAATTTATACGAGAAAAGTTTACTGTGACGTCACACTAAAATATGACTTTTATGTCTTCCTCATAATAACAGAAAAATGAAATAATTTGCAATTTTAAACTGCATTTGCATAATGAACAACAGTAAAACTTATCCATGCACTAAAAAAAGTTGCTAGTTAAATCCCATAAAGCTGTTTATAAACAAATCACTGATCTCGATTAACTTTTCAATCATGACGTCATTTTTGTAAAAATGACGTATTCCATGTGCTGTGAGAGGCAGATTGAGGGATTTTTTAACAATGAAAAATGCGTTTTATTATAAAAAAGAATTTTATTTACAGGTTTTAAATACACTATTAATACCAATGTATATCCTTTGTTTAGTGTGATTATTCATGAAGTATCGGGATAATGTATTAAATAATTTTGTGCGAGTTTTTATGTTCAGGTTAGGTATAATTTTCATCGAGGTGTCTCATTAAATCGTTCTTTTGCAAGGGCATACACTAAATAAATCTTAACCATTTTTTGAATATATATGTTTCTTAAGATGAAAAGTGCCGCTGCTTTCTTTGAATCGAGAGGGCGACTTTATCAGTACACAAAGTATTTGGTAAAAGTCAAACATATTTCGACATGGGCCTATTTACTTGAAATTTTAACTATTAAGACGCAAATTCTATTCAAAGCAGCAGTACTTTACAGAAAGCCCAAATTATACAAAAACAATTAATAGCTGAAATTTTTAATTTCAAATAGGGTATGCCCTTGCGATATTGGAATTTGTTAATGACCTACATTCAGTACACGTACTATGCATTCAGCACGTGACTGTCCATCGATGGGACCAAACTTTATACAATACAGAGTAGGTTATACTATGCTATTTCCAAAAGTATTTAAGTTCTGTGATATTAAAACAGCTGAATAAAAATAAATTCGGTTTTAAACACAGTTCCCGTTTTTGCACGTCTATTTTCCGTTGATTTCTCATAGTAAGCCTTAACAGTGCTGCGTAATGAACCTTACAAACAAAGACAACGTTGTTACCTGCTTTGTCAACAAGGACTAGTACGTACTGATCATGTAATCTATCCAATTCTTTTTTCACGGCTGGATTATTGAATACAGAATGATAAATGGTTTTCATATTACCCCTCAAAATAGATATAAATAAATAATAAATAGATAAAAAGGTAAGTTGAGAATTGAAAAGTTAGAGTTATCACATTTATTATAAAGCTTTGTTTCAAGCATACAAAGATACATCGTATCGACACAAGAATGGATATAACCAGTGTTAAAACATCAGCGATATCTTAATGTCAGTTCTTTGTCAAAAGTTGATGAAACAAAAATATCAACAACTTTGTTTTTATGACCTTGTCAACAAGTACAATTAATTATTAAAGCAAGTTCTAATTGACGTTTGGCATATTGATTGTTAGACAAACTTTTAAGTTCTGAATAGTAGCAGATTTTCCCGCCATTTCCAGATTATGACAAAGAGCAAACAGTGGGTGTGACCGGTCAACAGGAATGCGTACTCCTTCTGGCACCTGATCCAAACTTTAATGTTAAAGTTGTTCGTGTTCGTTCTGCTTCTGAGTTTTAGTGTTTGTTTAATGGTGTTTTTTTATCATCTCATAAATTTCATCATATACTACACGACTGAAAGCAAGAACTCCTTTTCAATCATTGTAATTTTTTTTCCTATTCATTTGAACCTTGAAATTAAGGCTTTGATAGAAAAAAGACTATTTTTACTCCCCTCCGAAAAAAGATTTAAAAAAAAAAAAACAAATATATCATTACTAATACAGCAATAAATTGTTTTATCTGAAAAAAAAAACTAGATCTGTCTTTGCTTCATATGTACAGATAACTCATTATTGACAAGAGTAATCTAATGCCCTTCTTTGAATGTATAATTGTGTGAACCGATGTCTTTATAGTTTAAAATTATGTAAAAGAAGCCTGTTGACATGCACTCTTGCATCAAAATTCTTTACTTTGAGTGTATTCTGATAGACTGAAGTTTTATTTCATAGGCGAAAAATTTGAAAAAAAGTGACTAAATCTTTATCTGATGCACTACATACACCACATTGAAGGTATGTTAAATCTTAATGAAAACATCCAGTTTAGTATGAATGATAAAACATAAGAAAAAAATGTTAAATTCTTCACACGTACCTTATAGATTTGTAACACTCTAACTATGTAAACACTCCTACCATTTTCTCCAGGTTCAAGGACTTGTCGTCTTAATACTTGTCCCAGGATAGCTAAAGTGATTTAAAAAAAATAGAAAACAAATTTATGATCTACTAAGACTTACATCTCTCCCTCTTTGTCTCTTCTCTCTCTCTTTCTCCTTTCCTTCATTCTCAATCTCTCTTCTCTCCCTCCCTCTCTCTCTCTCTCTCTCGATCTTTCTCTCATCTCTCATTCTCTCTCTCTCTCTCCCTTCCTCTCTCATTCTCTCTCTCTCTTTCTCTCGGGTAATCGGTCAAAAGGATAGGAACCGGTACGAAAATTTTTATTAGACTGATAGGAGAAATTTTACAAAAATACCTAAGTACTTGAAATTTGAAAATTTGAAAAAGAAAAAAAAAGCAAGTCGAAATATTTTGATATTTAACGTTTTCAAAGGACGTCCATTGAATTTGAATAGAAAGATGTATTCTAAATATGCCCAAGGTATTTTTTGCTTTTGATTTCGTAAAAAGTTACTGATCTATTAAACCAAATCTTAAATAAAATATCTCAGAAAGTAACACGAGTAAATTAAAGCACGGTAAAATTAATGGTTTGTTTAATAGTATTTTGTTTAACTTCCCTCTCGAGAATTTATTCACTTATCATACATGAATACCTGCGGGAGGAGAGCTTAAAATTTTGTCCTATATTCGATACTCAGGGCCATTTAGCAGTGAGGGATAATTTCCATGACAGCATCTACTGCGACACAGGACCCTGGCTCATAACATTAAACCTTGGTCCGAAAGACTTATCTCCACGTCCCACAGTGGGATTTGAACCCGCGAAGTCAATGCATTAATGCAGGGTTATTTTGCATGGCTTCTCTTCTTGATTTGCTGTAATAGATCTTCATTCATTTGCTACAAGTTTCTTTTTTGTGTAGGGGAGGGGTACTTTTAATAAAATAAAAGATAAATAGTGTTCTTATTAGATACATTTTTATATACATTAAGCATTTTTAAATCCCTTGTTAATTCGTGGAAAATGAAATATACGTCGATATCTTTTTATACGAATAGCAGATGAGCGTCCTGTGGTTAATCGATTTGAAAATCTGAATTCAATTGCCATCACTTTATGTTTATTAATTAAAAAAAATTTAGAAATCATCCCAAAAGTGTTAAGAATGAAGACTTACAATATTGTGAATCACATCCGTTCGTTGGTATATCAACACATGTGCAAGCGGCACCTAATCCTACACACAGAACCAAAACATTTAATGCAAAGAGGAATCTCATCGTACTCTATACAATCGTCAAATAGCGAATATTGAATGTTAATTTGTTCTTTTAAATTATTTGTTGTCCGGGAATTCCAATTTCCTTTTCATGTTGATTAATTCATTTGATTTATGAAGTAAATTTTCAATGGTGGTATTTCTAAAAAAATAGTGAAACTCCTAGATAAGATTACAGGCATTTATGATGATGATAAAACATTGCGTAGGAGAAATAGATAATGGCATAAAAACATTAAGTGTAACTGGTTTTTGTGGTCAAAATATCAGGAAGAAGGGTTTTTAATCGGTTACTTCATTCTTTATTTTCCCTGTTGTTTTACAGAGAAATTAAAGAACGGACATCTTTAAAATTACATCGTCTTCTAATATGTTTAAAAATTATTTTTTTTTAATCCTGAAATTACAAAATACTTTTTTAGAAAACAATCTTCCCCAAATCAACTAGGATTTTTCAATAACGTATTTAATATTTTTATCTTCCGTGTAATATGAGACAGAGAAAATTTACTTCATGTTTAAACAAAAAGTCATCATTTCTTCCTCTTCATCAAAGTTTCTGAAAATATCGGCATGTTTAAGATATTTATAAGAGTAAATATTCAAAAATTAGGTCTTTAAAAAACGTTTCATGTTTAAAAGCAGTTTTGCTGATTTTTTATTTAAGGTTTCTCCTGAAGAAAACAGAATATTTTGAATAATTTACAAACACATGTACTAGATCTTTTTCCAATTTTTGCATGTTTTTCGAAGTGAAATTTTCGCAACTATGGCGTAATTGTATTGATTTTTCAAGGTTTGAGAGACAACGTTAAAGATGATAGATATTTGGTGATCGAAGCACCGTTGTTTTTGTACTTTTGAGATGAGCATGGTTACAAAAATTTAAATAAAAGCTGTATAAAACAGTTGCGACACAATATGATTTGGAATTATGGTAAATATTATTAATTGTACATTTAAAATCACAAAAAGTATAATGCTCTATGCATAAAAAAACGTAATAATGTTTGGCGGCAGCCGATGATATGGCGTTTCAGATATTTATGGACTACTGTGTTGATTAAATTGCATCGTGCTTTAGGTCATGATCAGACAAGCAGAAAAATCAAGCGGCAAGTCAGTGTGTAATTAATTGGTTATTTTTAAAACAACCATTCATGTTTCGGGCCAAAGATAAATGACTAAAAATCGTAATCTGTGCATCATGTGACAAGGAGCAGTGTGACCTGTGGGCAGGATATGCTCACTCTTCAATGACACCTGATTCCACTTCTGATGTTTTGGAGGTCCGTGTTTGCTCTGCTCCTATTTTGTATTGTTTTTTGAATTTTTTATCTTAAAAACTGCTCGTTATCTCCATATATTTCAGGCATAGTGTCCATTGATTGCTGTCTTGGCTACTCTCTCATTTCACGAGAAAGTAATTTTGAAATGTCCCTGAATTTTATTTTAATTCTCATTTCTCGCCCTTACAAACATTATACTTTTTTCGGTGCATTGGGATTGATCATCGTCGACTTGCCTTGCAACCATGAAAACTCCAAAGCTAATTAGATTGGTATAAGTTTCATTAAACATGAGATTTTCATATTACATAAAATTCAAATGTAAATAAATAAGGGAGTAAACACAGTATTATAATCTGTTGGTACGGCCACGTGTGTTATAAGACCAGTGACATTCAAAACTTAGAATTCAATGCTTATATCTACATATTAAATATTCTCTCTTCATGACAGATAATTGCGATAAGATTTATCAAGCATGTAGCACCTTGCATGTCTCATGAGCTTTAAAGGCGTAAGAGCCGTTTGAATGATGTTGTTTAATGTCCCTCTCGAGGATTTTTCACTCATACGGAGACGCCATCACTTGCTGATGGAGAGCTACAATTTCTTTCTATGCTAGGCACTCAGGGTCATTGAGCAATAAAGGATCTTTTTCGTGCCAGAACCTTCTGCGACATGGGGCCTCGGCAAGGAAATTTTTAACATTGAGTCAAAAGCTGACGGACGTTTTTCATACTAATTGTTAGTCAATCATTTATACACTGAATTGACGACCGATATTTCCGTTATTTCTCGATCATGGCAAGGAGCACACGGCGGGTGTGACCGGTCAGCAGGGGATGCTCAATCCTCTATAACGTTGATCAGTTTCTCCCAACTGTAACCTTTAATTTAATCCTTATCTTTCAATCGTCATTTTATTATGAAATGTAACATATGTATGTATCAAAATTGTGTAGAAACCATCAAAAATATGGAGGTAAAACATTTTTAAATTTTAATCTAGATCTTTTTTATAAGTTTACGCAGGTAAGTGCTTTATAAATAGAATTCAGAATAAATAACGACAATAATTGAAAAAAAAATGATAATTCTGCTAAATTCTGAACGTCGTAACTTAATTTTTAATACTATTAGTCTTTGATTTTCTTAACTTACAATGATATAAAACACAGAATTTAATTGTTAACAGAAGCCAAATATACATTGAATATATTGAAAATTTATATGTCTTACAAATTAATACCTTTGTGACGAATATTACTCATTAAAAAGGTGAATGAAAAATGTTTCAACTGCAAGTGACAGGTGATGTTATGTATTGTATATCTAATTTATTGCCAAAGTCATTATTTAATGATGTACCTTGTAATAATCCATTCCGAATCTATCTTAAAAGAAATGGAACCTTGGATTAAAAAAGATTTATGATTTTTTAGGGGATGGTGACGTATATATGAAAACATTTGTAATTTTGTTCATTGTTCACTAAATACGTTTTAAATGTTCTAGCGGTAATATCACTTCCTAATTAGGATATGTAAAATTTTAAGGAATCTAAAATTTCTAACATATTTTTGTAAATATTGCACTTGAAAACTGGTTGAATAAACTCCTTTTTAGAAATTTTGACAAAAAATATTTATAAATTTTACCATTGATCTGAAGTATTTTGGCTAATTAAATAATTAATTGTCGCAATATCGAAGGGAAAAGCGTATTTCACAGTAAACACAAGATATGATCCAACAGGATATATGCATAATAAAAACACCATGTTTACAACACCTGTGATTGTGAAAAACTTTGACGTAAAACAAAACAATTTTCTGTTTGTAATTCAGAGACAATGACGTAGGAAATACAGTCATGTGACATGTTACCTGTCTCTCCCTTAAATTCTCTTTTTATAAATTCAACGTATAAAAGAATTTTGTACCAATGCCAATACATTACCAGCTATATTAACATTTTGATAACCTTAAATCCAGTCCTCTTGTATTTTGCTGAATTGCCAACGTTTTTTATTTATTACGTATTACTTGATAAAAGAATTCATATAATTTTTGTGCATTAGTTACCGAATACTTTTTATTAAATGTTCTTGTTATATTACTTCTTATCAATTTTCCAACAAAATAACCTTGAAACTAGGAAAAATAAGGAGGTTATCAATACATTTTAATATTAATATTATAATATTACAATTAAAAAAACACATTGCAGATAAAATGACATAATATTAACGAAACGTTTTAAAATATGATAATTAATTAAAGGTCAAACCTTTCTTTTAAAACAAGAACAAAACCCCCTTGCAGATTTGAACATGAATGCAAAAAAAAAAAAAAAAAAAAACAGAAAAAAAATTGAGCGGTCTTTCTACATGTTCATACGTTTAAGCTGTCAGTGGGAATATTAATATCATTTAATTTCTATAAAATACTTGATTCTGATTGGATAAAATATTCTTTTGATAACTGCATCAATAAAATCTAGAGTTCGGTTGCACTAAGCAGCCGAACTACTTTGACAGTCGGTACATGTATATTCCCCGCTTCCAGGTTACTTTTTGAAGGAATAATCAAATACCTTTGCTTTAAATATTTTCCTGAATTTCGGAACCTGTCCGTTAGGTTCCTGGCTTATTTTCTACTTTCGTTTCATTTTGAATTATCCCCCTTTGCTAAACAAATTAAATTCGTCTGCATGACGACAATACAGTTACGGAAAAGAAGGGAAGAAATCGTTTAATCGGCATACTTTTCTTAAATGTTTGACTTTGAGATATCTGGTATGAAACAATAGAACTCTGAAAAAAAGTTTTATTAGGCCTATGCTACCAAAGCGGGGAAAACCGAAAATCTGTTAAATCGGGGGAAACGAGTGATCGAGAAAAACGACACTGCATGAATTGAGGATGGAATTCTTTAATCTTGAACTATCGGCAGCAGACTCTTTCAGGTTTTACAGCATTGACAGGTTGTGATATGTATATAATTATATATTCGGTTTGAAATTCAAATGAAAAGATGCGCAAATGAAATCCAAAATTTCTGTGACCTAGAACTATTAGGATATTTGAGTAGCTTCCCTTCACATTTACGAATTTAGATAACTTACCGGGGAAAATATACACAGAGGGATAACACAACAGGTAAGTTTTTTGTGTTAAAAAACTGTAAATTATTTTGGAGACTGTTGGTAATCACACGACAATATTTGAGAACGTTTTTGGTTAGCATGGTTAAAACCATTTTGAATTTTCAGCAACGTTAACGTTATGGTGATGTATTCGTGCGCACTGTTTTTGATGCATAAATTTTATAGAAAAGTGAAAGAAACTTTCATTTTATTAATTTAAAATCTTAATTAAATGATAAGAAATGAATGTAATAATTTTTACTTTGATCGATGTATCAAGGAAAAATTTGGACGGAAAACTTTTTCATCAATGCGCTACGCGCATTGATGATTTTTTCCGTCCAAATTTTTCTTTGATACATCGATCAAAGTAAAAATTATTACATTCATTTCTTAAATGATGTCAATTTATTAAGGCCCCGAGTCAGTCATATAAAACATGGCTTGTATAATTGAAGCATGAAGTGAAACATGATGATAACGAACTGTAACCGTGTTCAAAAGTAAAAAGTTGTAGATAACAAACAGTGAATAATCTAATAAATCTTTGAACAATGAAAATTTTGTGAACTCACAAGTTTTGTATTACAATAACTATAATTACAATATAACGGTGGGTGTGACCGGTCTGTAGGGGGATACTCACTCCTCCGTGGCACCTGATCCCATGCCTGATATTTTTTGGAGGTACATGTTTGCTCTGCTCCTTTTTTTTTGTCTTGAATTTTGTTCGTTGTCTCCATATATTTCATAGAGCATTGCAAAAACATTTATACCTCTGCTGATATCATACGGGGTCAGGTACACATAGAAGAACTGGAATTATAACATGGATCAATCAAACTTCAGAAATTGCCACTTTTAAATGTTCATCATTTTTTTCTGACTTATGTTGCAACATAATCCTGTCACATAAACGTATGGATTTTATGTCTTCGATTTAGTTTGCTCCGCAAGAACATTAACTAGGAATGGGTTTTTTAACTTGGCAAACTATTGACAAACGAAAATTTTAAACAAGAATATTACTAGTCCAGCTTAAAATCAACGTTTTGCATTTTCTATGGTTGATAAGATGACGTTTAGAATCACAGTTAAGAATTTATCATTTAGTCGAATGTTGACTGACGTTCTCTATTAATTGATATTTATTTCATCCCCTTTGATTTGAGTGACTGTTGCGTGTGTAAATATATATATTTGGCAAAATTTTGTTTTGTATATAAGGATTCATATAACAGATTTTAGAAAGAGAAAAAAATTAATAGGGAACAGATAAATACATGAAAAAGCAAATTAAGATCTCCGACAAAACAGGTTCCCCAGCTCTGATGCTGGAATCTCATCCCAAGCTCGTGTGTATGCGCACGCGTTTGTTCTCAGTCTGGACTCATCTGTATATCCTACAAATAATTTATCATATCACATTATCTGCACTAAACTTTACAATTAATTCAATCTTTTTCTGTCATTTTCCTACATCTAGTAAGAAAAGGTGTAACAAAAAACGTTTTTCTTACGAGAAAAAGAAAAAACACCAAGAAACCAATTTCATAGTTACCGGATATGACGTAAACTCGTCTTTGTCTCAGGCGCAATCCACATAATGATCCTTCAACATAAGCCCTTATTTGTACTGTCCTTGGCAGAAATCCGGGAGCCTTAAAATCAATGAATTTCAGTTGCGTTAATTAAGGAATCACTGTCTAGTTAGGAGGGTATGTCAGGGCATCAACAATAGTGGAAACATGGGACAATTTGCATAACAGGCGAAGCAGGTTATGCTTAAATTATCCCATGTTTCCCACTATTGTTGATGTCCCTAACATACCCTCCTAACTAGACAGTGATTCCTTATATTTCCATTTCATTGTGAAATAAAATTGTAGATTTAGACTTTAAAAATGTAGATAAATAGATTTAAATCACATGATGACTTCCATGCCAATTTCAATAGTCCTCTCCAACAGACGTCAAACACAAAGGCAGCCGCACGAGATTTACATGCATATTTGGCCTCCTTAGCGTCAGGCACAGAGACAGATGCGCACTAGAATTGCATGCGTATTAGGCCTCCTTAGCTCCTGACCTATCGACCTGCCTAATTTACATTCTGGCAGAATTATCAAGAAATAAACTACCCCTAACTTTCAGAGAGTTATCACAGAGAAAAAAATTAGACATGGAAATATTGTAAAATAAATAGCCAAATCCAACATACCTATGGTTGATTGTGTTGTAATAACTTAGAGTATTTGGTTTAACAACACGTTTTCTGTTTTTAATTAAAGATTCTAAATAAAAGTTTTTGTTTGGTTAAATATGAAATTTTCCCCATTTTATTTCGGTAATTACAATTTTTAAAATATCTACAAAATTTCAACGAGAGTATGAGATTTTTATAATAACATTGCCAAATTTATTATTTTTGCAGGAAAAAAAGTGTTTGTTCTCTCTAGATTACCATGCCTAGAAAAACAGGAAAGAGTTATCTTGTTGAATTCAAATAAAGAGAAAACATTTAAATATCAAGATTTTCTGAAGAGAGAACCAGGTACCTTATAAACATGAAGTACACGGACAGTGTATATGATTTCATCATTCGGGGCTGTCCCGATCCCTCGTTCTCTTAAGACAAATCCTAGGATGGCTAGAAATAAATCAACAGATAATTGATCCAAAACCTGTTAATCTTAGTATACAAGATCGAAATACTACACTATGTTGCCATAATATATGTGTGTCGCTTTAATAATATATATTTGTTCTACACAATTCGATTTAAACATTTTTTTTTTTTTTTTTTTTTTTTTTTTTAAATGTTGCTATGATATAAAATGTTGGCACACTATCCACAAAATGAATGTATATATTATTATAATATAAAAATTAAAACATGCCAAAACACTTACAATATTCTGAATCGCATCCATTGGTCGGTACTCCTACACAGGTACAGGTAAAAATCACGTGGACGTTGATTGAAAATACGCACAAATATAGCAAAGTTTTCATGGCTTTGTTAATTCTATATTTCTCAAACTTATTTCAAATTGTTAGGTCGCTGGGAAAGATCATTATGTTTCTCTCTTGGTCGGTCCTTTGATTTTAATATAGCGATTGCCGGCCAGAGGAAGGTAATTACAATTCTTATTATTAAAGGTCAATTATTAAGAAAAACAGGTGAACAAGAAATTCGATCACAAAAGAAACTGATCTTAGACAAGAGCATGACATTTAAATGAACGAAATGAACATTAATTTATACAAGGACATACAAGTTTAACATAATTTAAACAAATAATACAATTTATAAGTACAGGCTTTCGTCCTGAAATGTCATTCTGGGTTCAAATATTCTTTTGACCGACTTGTTAATGCAAAAATAGTCACGATGAAAAGTTCCGTCTTTCGTAGCATATTGAAAAAAATCGCCTGATTTTTTGGCGAAAAGTTTTAAGCGTGACGGGATTATGTCCATGATTAATACACTGTTATCACAAACTTAACAAAAGATGACATTCTATTTTAATTTCCGAAAGTGCATCTTCTAGTTCACTTTCTAAAAATAAAATGATGCAGAATCGATTTTTTTTGTTTAATTCTTTTAAAATGCGGTAACCCAGTATGTGTTTAATATACCTTACCTGTGCTGGATTTCTTATATTCATAAATATCCCTACAGAGAAACAATGCAAGGTCAATTAAATGCTCTATTACGTCCTTTTAAAAAAAATTCCTAAGAATATTAAATGCTATAAAGGAGGAATGTCAGAGATACAATGTTACACCATAATTTATAAGTGGGTCCTAGGTCGTTGTTGAAAGGACTGGGTATGGTCACTGATAAATCTGGCCCCTTATTTGATGTATAAAAATCAAAACACAGTTAAAGTGGTGATAATTTGTACTAAGGACTTAAAATGATGCTTGTTTTTCTTAAAAGCGCTAATTTTTATTCAAAGCTAACATGAAAGTCAAAAGAAAGTGTAGAAGTAGGACATTTTTTATCCAAATTTCTTCAAATCAAGTGGAATTTGCCAAATTGGAGATACTTTTCGTTTCGGGAAACATACAGCACAGGCTTACCTATTAACGATTTTTATACTTGAAATGCATCTGACACTAGTGTATCAAATATATATATTTGGTGGATAAGCAAGCTTGTACTCCATGATTTAAAGTAAAATGTGTAGTAAAATCGATGAAAATTTGCAAAAAATTAGAACATTTAGGTATTGACATATTTTCTGACCTTCCTTTGACCTCAATGTATCCCATAACTAAAAAGTTAAAAACAATACACATTTTGTGGCAGGGGTTTTTAATTGGAAAAAAACATTTGCATTATTCTAGAAGACATTCCAAACCAAAGACGAAAAGGGGTCTTATTTTGGTTTCTTTTATATATACACTCAGGGCAAAATTTCTGCAATGGATTGTATTTAATGTTTGATTTGGACAAAAACCACATTTTATGTAATGTACGTTTTTGATGCAGTTTGATCGTAAGAATAAGCTTCTTAAATCTTTATAAAGTACCACATTAAACGAATTTATTGTTTTCACGTTGAACAAATATATTTCCTAATTATTATGATATTGAGAGTAATGCTAAAATACATCACAATGCAGTAATAATTTCTGATACAAATTCAGATGTGGCATAACATTTAAATTTATTGAACTAGTTTTGTTAACAGGCATTAGGTGTCCATGAGCAGGTTGACCCGAAACTTCTACATAGTGCGGTTCTGTGGTAGCAGTCTGACTTGTTATAGGGAGCAAGACAGCCCTGTCCACCCTCACACACATTATGAGGACATTCCCGTATCTACAAGAAACACATGTACACTGTATAAGGATAAGCATAAGAACAGGGGTTGCTAACTTCTTTATTGCACCTGAACCAACTTTTGATGTTCTAAAGATCCGTATTTTCTCTGCTCCTAATTTGTATTGTTTGAAAGGACTTTTAATCTTAATACTGTTCTGTAATTCAAAACCTGGTATATTTTTTTAATTATAGAGGTACATATAGTTTTGTCTTGGATTCAAATGGTATTAAAAGTTAATTGTGAAAGTCATTAGACTATATTTCAATCAAGTTTAAAACAAACAATTATTAGTATGTCTATTAGCAAAAACAATTTAAATGGAGAACAGGACAAAAAACTAGCAGAGTTTTAGATAATTTACTACTATACAAGATAAGTATTTCCTGTCGACCATTCAGATCTAGAATTATCCCTTTAATTGATCATGATTTCAACCAACTTGAATGTTCACTACATGAGGATGATTTAACATGAGTTATGGATCTTGAGAAGAAGATTTTAAAAGATTTGTGATATATATTCCTATGTAAAACCGTGTTGCAGTAGGTGCTGGCACGAAGAAGATTTCTCCCTGCTCAATGGCCATGATTTTAACATAGGAAAAAAAAAGCAAGTGTAAATGGCGAAAATGTCTGGAGAGGGACGAAAAAACAACATAAAGTATATTGTAATCATTCATTATGTCACATACCTTACAGTTACAGTTGTTTTGATAATCCATGTTATCCAAGGCAGAGAGCTGAAATGGAGTCATATCATGGATATTTCGATTCAAAGAACAGCTGCTGGCTCGGAGTGTTCCATCACTATCTTTATATCCTACCATTTAAAACAAAGCATATATAAATGATTTTGGGGATATACTCTTCTTATTATACTCTTCTTATTATACGTACCCAAAACAGAAGTTGACCTAGATATTCATCTGATAAATCTGCATACCAAATTTCATTTCAACATGTGCAACGGTTGTGAAGAAAATGAAGTATAGATAGTTTTCAGAAGTCCCAAAATAACAAAAGTTATTTATATTAAATGATAGCAAACATCCTACAAGACTGCTTCTTTGCTTTAATTGAACTTTTTAACAAGAAATTTCAACAAGAACACAGTTTTTTAACAGAAAAAATACACACTTTTTAATATTTGGTGGGACAAAGAGGCAAAACTATCAGGTTGGCCAAACAAAAAACACGGCAAACGGGAAAGTACTCTTTTAATATGGGTAAACTAAAAACTATTTATACTGACAAGAATCTGGATCCCAACCAAATTGTCTTTTAGAGAGAAGAGAAATTATTAAAAATCATCATAAAAAAATCTTTAATTATACTTTGAAGGTACTATATATGTATTTTTTTAAACATCTTGATATACAAATATATAAGATAAAAATTATCCACTTCTATCAATTATTTTGGTGCTTATACATTTTTAATATATATATATATATATTATCAGCAAGATCTGTTTTATCATTTTTTTTTCATTCAATAGATTGTCATCTTATAATCAAATAAATTACTCAAAGATACATGAAACAGGATCTTTGCTGGCGATATTTATCTTGAAATTAAGTACAATTCAATAAAATCATAACAAACGTTTAGTTAAGTACATAAATTTAGATCAGTATATTTTTTTCAGAACAACACATTTTACCCGTAGACCATATTTTTATTTTCTTTTATAAAAACCTATTTAAAAAATGTTAACGACATTTTAATGTTTCATTGACTACATGTTTATACGATAAGGGTCATGTAATAATTTAATTGTTTGATATACAGAATGACTTCAACATTCGCCTTACGAAGTTTCCTTATTTACATATTTAGTAAAATTCAATTTACACTTGCTAATGGGTTTTTTTCTCTCCATACTTATTCGCGTCCTAAGAACACGTTCTGAGTATGATGAATTTTAGGAAGGCTACCTATAGAAAAAGTTGATAACACATGAAAGAGAGTTACTTCCACAAAATTGTTTAAAGTTATCAATTATTAATTCTACGGTTCTAATTATGACCTTGTTAGAAAACGTTACCCACCTATTTGTTACGCACTTTTTAAAATCCATTTCCATCCCATAATATTTCAAGGGGGTTTAATATTCGTTTGAGGCATAGATAGACACACGAATTATGACCACGAAAAATTTTGAAATTTCACTTAACCTTATCTAACAATGAAATCAAGTCCCTACAAACCCTTTTCCTCATGAAACCACATTTTTACCAGATTAAAATATAATTTTTACATTAACTTCAATATTTTTATCGTAATAATTTATTTTAAAAAATCTTTTAAACAAATTCCCTGGAGACATCTTTCAAAACTATATACAAACTTCTAATATATTATAAATAAACATTTTTACTTCTGCTTTAAAATGGTAACCTGTAAATATACTAACTCCCTATAGCATAATTACGTTTCCTCTTACCTGCTAAAAATAAGTACATTTTCTCTTACCTGTATAATAAGTTTTTCCCCCTTACCCTATTTAATATAAGTACTTTTCCTCCTTACTACTAGAACATATAAAGTACTTTACCTCTTACCTACTAGAACATAATTATTTTTCCTCTTACCTGCTATAACATAAGTACTTTTCTTCTGAAACCTTACACCACAGGCAGCGGACGACGTCGCAGTTTTTATCCATACTCGGGAATTGCGCATCGGCGGGGCGTAACCACTCTTTAATTAGATGGAAAATTAAAATTGAGGATTTTATTTTATGGGAAAGAATTTGAGTGCCAATGACTTCCATTTCAGTCAAAAGTTTCTTAAAATTTTTCATGCTTAAATATAAAATAGTATTTATTTGAAAGCAAAAATATACCTTGAAATTTTGTAGGACTTCTACTCTATATCTTGTGTACATTGAATCGATTGGCTCCTCAAACAAAATTTTCGCCTTAATTGCTGCACAAAAGACATCAAAAATATATATGTTTTATTTAAAATTTTATAAACCTTCTTTTAATTTAACCCAAGTCTCGCCTCTTTGACTAACATTTTTAAATTCTTATCAATTTAACTGCATGCTAAAATATTTTTGAAGAAACAGATTTCAATAAAAATTAATATTGGAGTTAAAATAGTGAATACGTAAAAATCTTTACCAAAGTCTGATTGGCAGATAATTGTCTGTGGATGTCGGACAGCACATTTACAGGCCTCAGAAATTCCAAATAAACAAATCACAAGGTATACACAAAACAGAGAGACATCCATCCTTCCCATTCAGTATAAATAATACTATAGCCACAATGTACAATAACACGTTTAAATCATACTACTGTGTAACAGGTGTCAGTGGTAAGTTTTAAATACACCGACTGGTAAATCTGTTATAAGTATTACGTGCTAGGTAAATCGCTGTGTTTTATGCACGTGGCAAAACTTAATGAATGATGTTTATTATTATATTTAAAAAAAAATATAGAATAATGTATCAACTTGACCACGATTCTCTCTGAGAATAACCACTGTTGTAAACAGGCAGTTATCTATGTCAACACGGTAAATCTGATTATGACTCATGTTATTTACAACACTGTTAAACCTAATAGATAAATCATCACCTTACTTATTTACACTGTCTATTATACATCTATAAGTATAACTTAAGGGGTTTATCGTCAACTTAATTTTGATTCGGCCTAAGATAATTTTCTCTTATTTTCTTAGTGATGTACATCTCCATTAACGTCGATGACGTCGAAAGCGTAAAGGAATTGCCAATTTAATTATGATGACTTAAGATTCATTATAGTTCTTCATCAACTTAAAATAAAATTTTTATTGATATAAAAATACGTTTGAGATGACAAATTTTTTTTACAATTCAAAAGTATACCTCGGTAGAAAAAAAAAAACACTGTGTGAAACTAGTGTAGCAGGGTGTGTGTGTGTGTGTGTGTAGTAGAAATATACTGGTAAGCGCACGGTGCCGCACTGTGTCTAGAAAAATCTCAAAATTTTGTGCCATGTAAATTGCTGCACAAAAAGTGCAGAAAATTCAAAAAGTTATGTGTGAATTAAAAAATGTAAAAATCGTTTGTGGTAAATAAATAATAAGATTTGGTGACAATTTTTACTTGGGTTTATTTATACTTTTCTACCAGATATTGGACTCTGAATGGCACACGTGATCTCGATTAGATATCGGTAAAAAATGAATGTTTTTTTATTTAATTTTTTATATTAAAAATTAACGTTACAAAATCAAAAATGTATATATATATTATTTAAAAAAGAATGTAAATAATCTTTTTAAAAATAATCTCTTCACATTTTGTTGATACCTTTTCAAATTTTTATTTACTGCAATATGTACATTAATAAAATTTTATTTTATTTGTAACACGATTAAACAATATATTGGTTAATTGATTAATTTTTTAAAATGCGATATTAGAAGCCTTTTTCCGAAGGAAAAAATAGAAAAAAAGTTGTCTCATTGTCTACATTGAAATTAAATTATAAGGCATGAAGCTACATGTAATTTCAACTTATGTTGGTTTGAACATATTTCATTGTATAAATACTTATACAAATGGTTTGAACACAAGTTCTAAGAACTTACTAGGTTCTCACCATACAACTGTCAATATATACATTATGTATACATAGGAAAAATGACCTTGTTTCACCAATTTAATTGAACACAGTCAAAATTAAAGTCGAAAGTAGAGACAATCAAGTAGTGTGTTTCGATCCTCGAAGTGTTATATAATAATAGTCTGTTGAACTTTTTTGACTAATTAATTAGGATTTAACTTGAAAGGTGATTGAATATTTTTTTTTTGTTGCACACGAGTACTTTGATATTTAATTTAAAAGCATCTAATTAGTTAAAACATCTGTATGCAATAAGCTACTGCTTATAATTTATGGAAAGTACAACAAATAATTCAGAAGGAAGTTGATTAAATTTTATTAAATTGTTTAAAATATTTATCATCAGAACTGTGACATACCGTGTTTCATGGTGCACAGATTTCAAAGACGCCGATGTTGCAACCACTATTGAAATAACGACCACTATTGAAATAATCATATCAATCGTGGTTGAGAGTGCATTTAACAAACTAGTAACCACTATTGAAATACGACCACTATCGAAATAATTATATCAATAGTTGTTGAGAGTGCATTTCAATAGCAAACATAGTTAGTAACCACTATTGAAATACGACCACTATTGAAATAATCATATCAATAGTGGTTGAGAGTGCATTTCAATAGCAAACATGGACCACTATTGAAATACGACCACTATTGAAATAATTATATCAATAGTGGTTGAGAGTGCATTTCAATAGCAAACATAGTTAGTAACCACTATTGAAATACGACCACTATTGAAATAATTATTTGATGGACTTTCTATATAATAACCATAAATTTTTCCAGACATTGAAATCTCTTTAAAAAAATATTTAATAGTGAGTGAGAGTGCATTTCAATATGGTAAACATAGGTTATAACATCTATTGAAAAACTACCAGTATTGAAAGAAAAGTTGCACTGCTTCAGCAACTTTTGAACTATTTTTTTCAATATATATTGGATTCATTGTTCAAGCACTATTGAAATCAATAATTTTAACCATATTGAAATCTTTATCTCAAAAATGAACATTATTTCAATAGTGGTTGCAACCTATGTGTGTCATTGAAATGAATCTTACCCACTATTGAAATGATTATATTCATAGTAGTCGTATTTCAATAGTGGTTACTATCTTTTTTTGTTAACGTAATTGAAATGCACTCTCACCCACTATTGAAATAATTATTCCAATAGTGGTCGTATTTCAATTGTGGTTATTACCTATGTTTAATTTCAAAATAATTTAACAACTGTTGATATAAAATTGTGTTGCTTTTCAATGGTGGTTACTAACTATGTTTGTTATTGAAATGCACTCTCAACCACTATTGATATAATAATTTCAATAGTGGTTGTATTTCAATAGTGGTTATTAGTATGTTTGTTATTGAAATGCATTCGCAACCATTATTGATATAATTATTTCAATAGTGGTTGTATTTCAATAGTGGTTATTACCTATGTTTGTTATTGAAATGCACTCCCGACCACTATTGATATAATTATTTCAATAGTGGTCGTTATTTCAATAGTGGTTGCAACACGCCGATACGGTTCGAGGTCCATACTAAAGCGTTGACTTGCGATCAAGGGGCCCTGGTTTTGTAGGGAAACTTAAGGCATGCGCATGTACTGTATTCAAACATTATTTGTAAAGAAATTAATATCTTTAGATAAAAGATATTCAAAAATCTCAAATATCTCAGTCTGCCCTCAAAGTGCTCATATCACTTAATATATGACTCTAGGTACGTCGGTTGTGGTATCTTGACAATTTACAAGATTATTAATCAATAATATCAGCTCCTTGTGTAAAAAGAGAATTTTTATCTATCTGCACCTTTAATAAGAGAAGTGTGACAATTTCTTTTATTACAAAATTGTCCTGGGCCTTAAATAAAATGCAAAGATACTAAATTTAAACATTTACTAGCCTTTTTTATTTTTTAGACAAAAAAGCGCTTTGTAACATTGTCCTTCAAAGCTAGATTTCTCCTAGAATTCAAATCGTCATTGATCTTCATCTCATTCTGCATGTATGTGTACATAAACTGTGTATAAATAATCATTTATAAGCATGGCACTTGTGCATCATTCCAATAATCCGTTTATTTATAAGTGAGAGGATTGGAGATTCTTGAAGAGCGGGTCTTTGTCCGGGAATTTTATCCATCGTCGTTCTTTGGTTTTTGAACTCTCAACATAGACCCAGCCAGTTACTATAAGCACAAAGAAGCTAGATCATAGAAGCATTGCTATATGGGTGAAAACTACATGATTTCATTTTAATATAAAACAAATTGTCAAGTTACATTCACATTTCTTGTCAAATCTAAAATTACACTGTATACATAAGGAACCCCCCCCCTTTTTTTTTATCGTCGCCACTTTCACCAGTGGGTGGATTTTTAACCGGGAGAATTTAAGGAAAACATTATAATTTCTTTAACGAACAATGAATGGGCGAATTTAAAACACGTTAACATTGTTTGCAAAAATAACAGGGGGTGAAATAGCTGTATTTGGTATTTGGCAAGATTATACATTATTTTTATGGTATAGAAAGTAGAAAAACAATTAGATATACACGTGGTTTTATTACCAAATTAAATTATTTGTAAGGAATTCGTTTAGTATCTTTATCTGAATAGATGCAGAGATTAGACAGACCTGGATCAACTCCTGTTTTGTCGTAATGTCCAGACAATGACTGTGGTGCAGGGGATTGATCTTCATTGTAACTTTCCTCAGTGTTAACAAAAGCAGCATTTTCTCCTGCGGGAAGGTTAATTAACGGACCACTTCCATCACTCTTACCAACTACAGTAAAAATAAATTTTAAATTAAAAAAAAAAAATTGAATTTACTGTAAAATCAACATGCTTCATCTGGTTCGTGGGGATTTGAGTGATCAACTTTTTGGTAGTTTAGAAAATTTACATTTTGTGAGATATATATTCAAATGATAATTAATCCCCCACGAAAATTAGTAATTTCACAGTAGATCTCATGCATTCACGTCTTAAACTTTTTTTGAAATTTTTAAACTTGCAATGCCCTGTTTACCATTTTCAGGATTGATTTTGATTCCAGTTGGTGAAACAATACGTGGTGTGTTTGGTGAAGAAGGTGTCATTTCAGAATTCTTATTTTCCTTTTTCTTTTTGTCTCTGCAAACAGAATATTAGCCCTTTTCAACATACAAGTATATATATACATTTACTTAAATAATTATATCCCGTAATTGGCAAAATATACTTATAATTATTACGAGATCTTTTATTTATATAGTCTAGTAAACTTTACTCGTTGGACAAGTTTTCCTTCTTTCAGAAATTATTTTTCCACGAAAAATAGAACACACCTTTGTCTACACCATTTACCCTTCCATGCAACTAAAAATAGAACAGCCGCCGCAATTAATGCTAAAAATAGAAGGGGTAAGGCAATTGCTAGTGGGTTGACGTTGCTACTTTTGGATTTAGTAACAGGTATCACTTTCGTGTCTTCTATCATTTTGTCAGGTACAAAATACTCATCTATGGCCTTCACAGAAAATTTACCCCATTTGTCCTTATTAATCCCTAAAAAATAAAACGTTTCAATCGTCACTTATTTCAGGTGTACAATGGAAATCACAATGTTTATGTAATATCACAATGTTTATGTAATAGTTCATGAAATAAATAAGTAAACCTACGTTTGAATGCAAACTCATACAGCTTCTGAATAGATATACTTAGGTAGTTTTATTCTCTTATTTTCACAAATTCATATAATGAAAACAACGCTTTGTTGTGATAAACTTAATTGAAATAAATAGTACAAAAATATCTTAATGTAACCTTAAACAAAAAGCTTTAAATACAGTATTAAGTTAAGCAATATTTTGTTTTATTTCTCATTGTTCTATATATTTTGTAACATTTTCATTTTATATATGAAAACAAATCTTTGTTGTGAAAACTTTTTCACATTGAAAAAATTGTACAAAAATGGATTCACTAGATGTACTTCCTTAGTTTGCAGGAACAAAAAGGTTATAAATCCAGTATCAAGTTTAACAGCCTTTTGTTTAAGGAATCACTGTCTAGTTAGTATATATGCCAGGGACATCAACATGTATATATTTTGTAACATTTTAATTCTAAATAGATATAAAAAATATATTAAACCTTCAACTAGACAAAACTATATTTCCATGTCATTGTGAAATAAAATTGTAGATTTAGACTTTACAAATGCAGACATAGATTTGAATTTTACGAGGATTCCCATCCCAATTTCAATAGTCTTCGTCCACTGACGTCAAACACAACGGCAGCCGCACGATATTTTCATGCATATTTGGCCTCCTTAGCGTCAGACTTAGAGACAGATGTGCACGAGATTTGCATGCATATTAGGCCTCCTTAGCTCCTGACCCATTGACCTGCCTGATTTATAATTGTATTCCAGTAAAATTATCAAGAAATTAACTCCGCTAACTTTCAAAGAGTTATCATAGAGAGAAAAATTAGGAATGGAAATATTAACAGATAAAAAACACTATGACAAAATATTTCCATTTCTGATTTTTTCTCTGATGTTTGAAAGTTATAGGAGTTGATTTCTTGATAATTCTACCAGAATGTAAATTAGGCAGATCGATAGGTCAGGAGCTATGGGAGCCTAATATGCATGCAAATCTCGTGTGCATCTGTCTCTGTGTCTTACGCAAAGGAGGCCAAATATGCATGTTTTGTACTTTGTGTTTGACGTCAGTGGACGAGGACTATTGAAATTGGCATGGGAGTTCTCATATAATTTAAATCTATGTCTATATTTTTAAATCAAAATCTTAATTTATTTCACAATGAAATGTAAATATAAGGAATCACTGTCTAGTTATTTTAGTATTCCAGGGACATAAACGACAGTGGGAAGCATGGGATAATATAAGCATAAGGGGCTCCACCCGTTATACAAGTTATCCCATGTTTCCCACTATCGTTGATACCCTGGAACACTAGACAGTGATCCCTTAAATATTCAATTTCAAGGCTTACGCAAATTTCTATAAATAGTAAAATAAAACATTTAAGTTTATCAATTATGAATGAAACTGAGAAAATTCTTCTTTTATATGAAATGTTAAATAGAACATTGAACTTCAGCTTAATAGCACATCCATTCTGTGCGTTCATGTAATGATTACCAAAATTAACAAAACTTAAAACAAAGAGACCACCAAACACACAGAATTGACCAAAAGTATATACATTCAAAGGCACTTTTGGATAGGAAATGTCTCATCAAAATGAACAATATCAAACATTTTTTTCACTTTAACTATATATTGAAAGGCACTTTTGGATAGGAAATGTCTCATCAAAATGAACAATATCAAACATTTTTTTTTCACTTAAACTACTAAATATAATTTTATATGTCATTTATAAGAGTAAAAGTGTATTTAAAAATCTCTTTTGTTGTATCGGGAAATTCCTGTTCACAATTACATATGAAGAACTAACTACTGATGATACTTACGTTTTCATATCATATAGGCACCATCGCCTTACATAGGGTGTTGGGTAGGTAGATTTTATTGACAGCATAACCTCTAACAGGAAATCAGCCTCTTGTTTCAGATATTCGTCTTTGTTGAGAAGTAACGTAAAAGTAAAGACGTTAACTTTCGGTTGAAAAGTGTCTATCCTAACTGTAGCACTCACTAGTGACGTCAGTCTTGGATCACCGTTATCTTGGGCATTAATTCTGATGATGTACTGAGAGCTGTTGAGATCGTTTCTGGCCCTGACTTCTCCTGTAATTCAATAGATGAAAGCATCTTTACATTTACCTAGGGTGTATCTTTTACAAGAGTAAGAAAGAAATTCTTAAGTTGAGAATGTTACCTGTATCTGTGTTTACAGTAAATGGGGATTGTTCATATGCAGGGTCCAAAACATAGAAGAGTTCTGCATTGTTTGTTTCATCTTTATCCGTAGCCCTTAATCTCGCAAGAACAAAATCACAGGTCTCAGAAACCGGGGCTTCTGTGTTGTAGAAAATCGGGGAAAATTCTGGAGCATTGTCATTGACATCAGTGATGTAAATCGTGACATTCGCTGTTGCTGTTTTCGGTGGTGAATCTCCATCCATTGCCACGACTATCATTGATAAGACATCGTGGGTTTCAAAGTCAAGCGAGCGTTTTAGAATTACGTCTCCAAATATGGGATGAACAAGAAAGTAAAAGTCAGCTTCGAGACCTTCAGGAGAACTCAGGTCTAGCTCGTACGTAAGTTCTGAAAAGAAACCGAGATCAACATCGACTGCAGCTGTCGTCACAATTTTTGTTCCAACTGCTGTAGATTCGGAAATAGTTTTGGAGTAAAAGGTATTACGGAAAATTGGGTAATTATCATTTAAATCATTAACGTATATATTAATCGTAAATTCAGATGATAGAGCTGGGTTTCCGCCGTCTAAAACTGAAATTTTGAGCTGGTAGAAAGATTCTGCTTCACGATCCAGTGCCATGTTTGTAAACAGTTCTCCGGATGTTTCGTTGATAAGGAAACTTCCGGATGTTCCTTGTAAAAAGGCGCTGATTTGGAATGTCAACTGTGCATTTATTCCCTCATCCTTGTCTTCGGCTTCCAATCGTCCGATTCTTGTATAGAAAGGAACGTTCTCATCTACAAAGTATTCTTGTGAGGCCTTTGTAAAAGTTGGTGAATTGTCATTTATATCTGATATTGTGATTGTGGCAGTTGATGTGGAATATTTGGGTGGCAATCCGTGGTCTGATACTTGTATAACCAAATGATAGAGGGACCTTGTTTCACGGTCAAGTTTTGATGCCACCTGCAGGAAGCCGCTGTATGGTTCTATTTTGAAGTGAGAATTATAATTTCCGGATTCAATGGAGTATAGGAGTCGACTGTACTCTCCCAAGTCTTCATCTTCTGCAGTTACCTTGTACACGACGTGTTGTACAGGTGTATCTTCTGATACAATTGTGTCATAATTGCCAACTATCCTGGGGGTATTATCGTTGATATCTTCAACGTGTACATTCAGAATTAAGGTTGCTGTTTGCGATGGACTTCCAGCATCAGTAGCAAGGATTTCCATTTTATATCTAAAAATCAAAATGGAAAAAATAAACGTTTAATAATGTTCTTACCTCCCATTATTCATTACTACATCTGCAGAATGCTTATATTCTTTCGGTATTAGTTGATGACATTTCCAAAATTTCCCTCAAAAGATATAATCATCTTGAAGAAAATAATGTCAAGTAATTGATTCATTTAGCTGTTGGTAAACTAAATCAAGATAACATGTTATTAATCTTATCAAATATGTTTAAAATGGGGAACCTTTCACAAACACTCACAACAATTAAATCTTTTGCATGCAATTTTGAAAATCTTTCTTTTATCATTTGTAATTTAGAGGTAGATATTACGAAGGATGAATGATCTCATCAATCCTGTTCAAAACATAAATGATGATCAGGACAAATGGTGTGCTCTTAGAAACACTAGAGGTAAGATCAAGCGTAGGAGCGAGTCTTCCCTTTTGAAAAGTCAATCTAAAATAAGTTCTTGGTGTATTTTTTTAAAAACGAATAACTGCAAACAATAATCTTGAAAATCCTGTGGCATCAATTTTTATGCCAATAGATTGACATACTTAAATGTTGTTCGATCTAAGAACATACAAATGTTTGAAAACCAAATACCAGTAAAACTAAACAAACGCCTAGCACGCTGCAGACTAATTGTATAAAGTTTACATTTGAAAAACAGAAGACTTCAGAAATAAAGCATACACAAGTTTTTATTACATTTTTAAAGTAACAATATTTCAGAATTTTGCATGTACCTGTCTTCTGTCTCACGATCAAGGGCTCCCTCAACAGTTACAATTCCGGTAGATGAATGTACACGAAAAGGCGTGACAGACAATTGACTGAAAGAGAACCTGTTATTGTTGTTAAGTGGAGAGTCTGAGTCTGTGGCTGATATCTGTGTTAACAGTGTCCCTTTTGCAGCTGATTCCGACACAGAGATGGACCGGGAAGACACCTGAAATGTAGGGGGATTGTCGTTCACATCCACAATGGTAACGGTTACTGTACACTTGTCAGATAAAGGAGGATCACCCATGTCTGTCACGGAAACAACGAGTTCAATCACAGAAGTCTCCTCAAAGTCTGTAGGTTCTGCTACGGATATCATTCCATCGTTGGAGTCAATGGTGAAATGGGAATGGATGTTTCCAGATTCTATGGCGTATCTTATCTGGCTATATTTACCCTCTTTATCAATGTCATTTGCAGACACCTGTCCAACTGTGGTGGATTTTGGAGAACCTTCATCGTTTGTAAACCTACAATTTTAATGATTGAGTTGAAGATATGATCATTTATCAATCTTTAAAAAGTGTTTCAGCAGCTAGCATAAAATTATATAAATAAAAGAGTTAACATGCCCTCAACGTCTATTTCCTGCTATAGATTGAAAGATTTGTTGTGAAGTTACATATGAATCCTTCAAAAAATATATCTTTCCTACACAACATAGCTTTGAACAAGAAAATAATCATATAGTTTTCCATGGAAGCTTTGAGAAATGTCTTTATTGCTACCTGTAAGCATTTCTAACAAATTTGGGGGGTTCGTTCACGTCTTCTACGTTGACATATACGGTAGCGGTGGATGTAAGCGTTCCATCTGAAGCCAGGACTAATAACGTGTACAATGGAGTCATCTCCCTGTCTAACAGACCCTTCAGGAAAATCTCCCCTCTGTACGGGTCCAATATAAAATTCTGATAATTGTCTCTGAATGTAAAGGTAATAACACTGATGTCCACGTCTGTAGCCGACACCTGGGCGATGAATGCACCCTTCTGTGAATTCTCAGGTAGAGTACCGTTATATATACCTATAGAATTCAAACACCGAGTATTGAGATAGGGAACTGCTATGCATATCACACATCGGAGCTTGTAAATATTCTAAAGCAATAGATCCGAGCTTGTGAACAACAGTTGAAACAACAACCTGAACTAGTGAACTCCGGGGCACCTTCGTTGACATCCTGGACGTTCACTGCAATGCTGACTGTAGCGGTAGACAGACCGTCAGTCACGCCGATTTTAATCTCATAAAAGTCTCTTGTCTCAAAGTCCAATGCTTCTTCAATAGAAATTGTTATCAATTTAATTAACATTTAACAGCTAACAGAATTATAAAAATATCTAAAATAACAAAACATGTTTAACTCTTTAAATATATCAAATATAGATGTCAAGAAAAAAATGAAAAGCTTTATAGGTAATCTGTCCTTGCATGTTAACCAATTTTTAAGAAATAAACGTAATGAATATGTTGAATTATAATTTTCTTTAGACTCACTGTCAAGCAAAAGTTTTCCCGAGGAAGTGACGTCAAATACAGCCTCATTAGGTCGCCGATAAATGACGTCATATTGAAGAGAATCCCTGTCGTCGTCAGTACAAAGTAATTCGTACAGAGAAGAGACGGATGTGACTAAAGAACAAAATAAAATGAAACATACCAGGTTACTAAAGCACTACTGCAACTAAGCACATCCAAAGGTATTTATATACAATAATTATATGTTAATAATTTTAAGACTTCGAATAATTCAATATCCTATTTTTTCTTGAATTAAGTGATATTTCAAAAATATCTTTCATTTACGAAATAGTCAAAAAGAAGATTGTTGAAATATATGAAATAACCTGTATTTTCATGAATGTTAATATTGATGGCATCAGGCGTGCATTTAGGTATGTTGTCGTTAACATTCAGCACCGATACTGTCAATGTGCTTGTACTCTGAGCAAAGAATATATTTATTATCATCTTTTACAACATTTATAATTTAAAGTCTCATGCAGTGTATATTCATATTATTCATTTTATTTTATATGATAAGAAAAATGGTTTGATAAGAAGTTTTTTTTAAGATAATAAGAAATTGTTTTTAAATGGTAGCACTACATTGAATTGAAAATATTTCTAATAAATTATTTGTTACTTTTAACATATAAAATGAGTTTTCTTACTCTTCGATTTCCATCGTCTTCAACAACATAATTTATGATGTATCTCTGTTCATTTTCAAAGTCTAGATTCCTCACTAACACAATATTACCATTATTTGAGTCAATCCAAAATAGGTCCCCGCCGTTATTGTTGACTGGATAACAAATAATGAGATAATACAATTACAAAGGGGCAACCTCTATAAACAAAAAAATATGCTTTTAAAAATCCATATAAGTTATTTCTTTCTTTAAATGGAAAATGTTCTTACCACCTGTGATAAAGAATGAGAAAGGGTTCAGATTATTTCGAGAGACGTCTGCGTCTGTTGCTGTGACAGTATACAACACACTTCCGATGACCTCGTTTTCAGCGACTTGGATCGTGGTGGCAGGTGGAACTTCCGGTGCGAATTCATTATTAGGTTTTACAATGACATGTCTCTGAACTGGTAGATTGTTAAGACCATCAGACACAATAACTGTCAGACGATATGATCTTATACCAAGGTCGTAGTCCAGTCCTGCAATATTGAAATTATAAACAATTTGTCGCTATTCATAAAATAATCACTATTTTTTTATCATTTTACAAATAACGGTCTAGGTACTGAAATTTAAATTTTCTTTCGTTGAAAAGGTTATTGTTTAATAAAGAATTCGTATGGCTATTCCAATCTTGATTTAATACGATGGCGTCAGTATGGATCTTTATCTGTGTAGGTGTAGAAATAAGAAGGAATAATAAGTTTTTGTGGAAATGAATTCCTGTGTCTCATGAAAGCTCGAAAACCACAAAAGTTAAATCCCAACAAAAATTACAATAAGCGTTGAATAACGTCAAGATTGAAACAAACATCTTAAAGTAGTACATGTACCAATTAGGGTTTCTTCCTGTCTGTCTTGAATATACATATTTTTGATATCTAAGAAACTCAAACAAAGATTTTACTTTACCTTTTACCAAGGTAATTACTCCTGATGGATTGAGAGAAAATGTTCCATCTAGGTCATCTTGCAGGTTATATGTCAAGGAGGTTGCTCCGTCCAAATCAGTGCAGGTTAACATCATAAGCTAGATCAATAATAAAATAATTGAATTAATGGAATAAATATTAAAAACAAATCCCTGCTTGAATGTACTAGCGTGATAAGTAGCTTCAGAGAGAGACAGAGAGATGTTATCAACAATAATAAAAAAAAACGATTTTACCAAATTTCTTCCTTTACTAATTTAATTGGGTATTTGTTGTAATTGTAGACTTACATCCTTGATGTCTTTCAATTATCATAAAGATTGCTAGGCACCCTGACATAAATTCACACTGTGCTTTTGATATATATTTTTCTTACAATTTTCCCAGGGAGAGTGGATTCGTCTACTTCGACAACGTTCTGATTCGCTGAACACTCTGGAGTGATGTCATTCACGTTAATGACGTAAATAGTGGCTATAACTTGGTGATATCTTCCACCTCCATCAGTGACTCTGATCGTGAGCTGGTAAGTTGATTTAGATTCAAAATCAAGGGGGGCTAGTGTGGATATTTCACCTGATTTTGGGTTTATGTAAAATTTGTTGTCCTCATTTCCAGCTACAGATAAATGATCTAATCTCATAAAATATCTAAGAATTTTCAAGGCAAACACTAAAGATAGCATATGAAAACAATGATATCGTATTAGGTATTGACAATTTATAATGAATACTGTATTTGAATTCCTATGTTAATTCGATATATCCCGGAGAGCTTGAGATAAAAGATACCACAGAGTCTCACACATCTGTTTAATGCTTGGATATTTAACATGAAAAAGACGCAAATGGTTACAACCAAGCTCCATATTTGATACACCTGATGATTTAAATTTTCAATCGTCAACTTGCCTCTCTTGTGCAGCAATGTTTCTTCATCAAATGCATTCGGAGTTTATATATCTCAATTGACTCGATACGCAAGAGCTTGTTCTATGTATGAACAATGTCTAAAACAAGGTCAACTATTGAAAAACAAGTTGACGAAACTAAAATAACAATAGTTACGATTAAAGTCATCATTTCGTAAGATCTATGGTCGATACAATGACCTTGTCAGCAAATACAATTTATCATTGAGTCAGATGCTGACTGACGTTTCTCATACTAATTGTTAGTCCATTATTTATACATTGAATAAACGACAGATTTCTTTCATTATTTCCCGATCATGACAAGGAACGCTTGTACACGGCAGGTATGACAAGTCGGCAATGGATGCTCTCTCCTCCATGGCACCTGATGGAATTCCGTGTTACACTGTAGCTCTGCTTCTATTTTGTATAGTTAATGTACTTTTGATCTTCACTGTTCATTTCATATTCATCAGAAAAAAATGAAATATCGGTTTATCATTTGTGAATAAAATTTGTCAAATCTTACGATACCTGTAATGGTGAATGTCAGGGTCCCGTGGAGGCCGAGATCATTGTCGTCAGCAGATGAGTTTAAAACCCACGTACCCGCTACGGCATTCTCCGGTATCTGTTGAATAGATAGAACCTTTTACATTTCTCGAATATTACACGCATATGCACGCACTTATCAAGATTTATATTTGAAATCACTTGAAGATATTTGAATTTGTGTATGCCTCAATGCATTGAAAATTTAAATTCTTTGCCGGTTGAAAGGAAATTACAAACATTTACAATAACAAGTTAATGTAGCCAAAAAATTTTTATTGCAAATTTTAAAATCTGAACATTAGGGAACTTTTGAAAAGTGAAAAAAATTCCTTTACCTTTAATTACAATTGTTTTTAAATAAAAACGTCTTTAAAGAATGAATTTTTATTTCAGTAAAATATCTAGAAAGCAGTTTGGATCTTCAGAGAAGAATAGAAAATTGTATAAAAATATCACATGAAAATTACGACTTGTATACACGACTACAAGTCGTGCTGTTCTACTGTCAGTTAAGTATGGAAAGTTGACAAAGAAAAAGTTTTGTTAATACGTTTGTCATTTTGTCTTGCTTTAAATTTGTCATCAAATTATTTTGCTTTCCTAGTAAGATATCCGAAGTTTTAAAATAAATTTGGCTCCTTTAAAATACAGATTCAGAGCAAAAGTATGATATTGAATGATTGTTGGAGGACTGGGTTTCTAATTTTACCACAAATATTGTTAATGAGAAACTCAAAAATATTTTCAGTAACAGGTAAGACGCATTGTTTGTAACTCAGACTTTTCTTTCCACAAACAAAGTTTTCAGATGACCAATGCATATAATAATTCATTACTTTTATGAATGAAACAAATGTCTATGATTTCAACAATTACGATTTCATCTCTGAAATGGTTGCAAAATTTTGAAAGGTGATACGTTTTCTATGATTGATTTTGATTAATTTGCGGTTTTAATTTTCTAAAACCAAAACATTTCTTGCAATGTGTTGTTTGCATTTCCTTAATTTATTCTTATACTCTACCCATTTTCAAGAGAAAGGAAACGTGCCAATTTTAAACTGACTGGAAGAAGAGAATCTGACACAAAGATGTGACAGACTATATGGTATCTCCTTACGATATAAAATAAGTAACATTTGCATACAAAGAGGTCCTTAACCTAAAATGCTCCCCTGGGTAATTTTGCAATTAAAGGAAAAGGAAAATCAGTTTGATATTAAACAGTTGATGAAATGATGATTTGAACGAATCGGATTCTTAACTTTCCCAGGATGCTTCCATATTAACAATACTATTTGTTCTCCAAAGGAAGAGTTTGAAGGATTTTTTCTATGTCATGATTTGAAGATCTATGTATTTCCCGAGATTGCCTCTGATTGCGATCCCGATCAGAAAAAAAAGATTTTTCTTGTTGTTTCCTTGGTTGTTTTGATACCTTACATGTCGTTTAAGAGATGATTTCATTTCTTAATATGCAATTCTTATCTTCTCTTGAAATAGGGATAAATTCTCATGTTAACAATATTAACAAACTTGAATACCATTTGCCTAAATTGCACTTTGGAACAGGTTTCATTTATATTAGCTTAGTGATTCAAGAAAAATTTGAAATGTTTAAAGAAGCGCAAAGACGTCCCTAACTCTTTAATCAGAACATTCAAAATGTACATGTACCTTCAGATCAAATGTACTCAGATAAAATATATTTACATTTGCAAATTTCTTTCTAAGATTAACCTATTGAAGAGAAATATGTTCAGTTCTGTGTCATATGTGTATCTTATTTTTGGGTCAGAGGTTATATTTTGTCTTTGTATTTCTTGTTTTGGAAAATTTCTAAGTTAAAAACGATGATAAGATAAAATGTTAAACGATATGGATATTTTTCAATCACGAGATGTACAATAAATCTTCTTTCCATGTGAATAATGTTTTGAAAACTATAATTAGCCTAAAACCGCACTTATCTTTTTAATCCAAAGTTCTTTTGGAGTCATTTAAACTAAAACAGGCGGTACCACTGCTTTTGACTTTAAATATTTTAAGAACATATGGAGTAGATTATTCTCAGCAGCGACCATTGTTCTTTCACTATATACAGATACATATTTCCTGAACAGGACTGATAAACATGAATGTTAAAATTCAAATGTTGGAGCGAGGTGAATTTCAAGACCAAACAACTTCTATGTCATTGCGCGTTACATCATAGCAGTACGGCGGCCCGTTCGTATAATAAATGCAGTTTATTTAAAATCTATTCGTCTTAAACGAAAATAAAAGTAATAAACTACAATGTTAAAAAGTTCACTGGGAAATGAACTTTTAGTTTACACGTGTTCAAATCTACTGAGAAGCCCTTCGGCCTTCACAGGATTTGATCACGTGACCAACTTAAAGTTCATTTTCCAGAGAACTTTTTAACATTGTTGTTTATTTCTTAATTGCAACCTGTAAACTAATATGCATGTATTTTAACACTGAACCTACATGCAAATGTATCGTTACTTCTCCTAGTGTGTGACAATATCATGGACACTTTTATTTTGAATACCTGTAACAATAGACATCTTCCTTTTACCTGTGCATAATAACTTGGAGCGAGGAATGTAGGACCGTTATCATTTATGGGGTTGATGTCTACAAACACCCTAGCAGTTCCAGTCTTACTGGAATCTGTTTTGGGATTATCCACACCGATCACAGTAAGTGAATATAAGAAATCCTGCCCTGATAACAACTCATAGTCAACTGCAGCGTTCGTTGTCTGGATTCGGCTTCCGTAAAGTTTAAACTTTTGGATGGGATCGTCGCCACCTTGAATGGTTAGAGAACACCCCGGGTTGGGACCTTGATCCAGATCAGTACATATGAGATCAGTAAGGTCCGTCACGTCATAATCTGCAAAAAATAAATGTATAATATCTTATTTTAAACGTCACAAACAATACACGTGTAACTCCCTTTTTTTAAAATCAAACTGTTATTAACCTTATATATCACTTTATCACTTCAAGGTCACTTCTAAAATTATTAAGTTCTTCACTGGCATTTCTTACGTCTTTGTCAACAATATTTAAATCAAGACTTCGTATTTTGTATAGAAAGTTTTTTTATAGTGGATTGTATTTAAGTAAGAAATATCGTATATTTATCGCTGTAGAATTTTAACTTGAAGAAGTAATTTGGAAATTTTAACAAGTCATTGTAATATCAACCATCAGTTTGAAGAGAGATTAAATGTTTATGATCAGAACACTTCATTAACTGAAAAAGACAATAGAATATATCTATTCTTGGCACTCTTTATATTTAGTGCAACGTCTGACTGGACAGCGCAGAATAAATGAGGTATTTATACTTATTTGATCATAAATTTATTTATCAATTTGAATTTTGTAAATATAAGATATTTTTGGTCTTAAATACAAGTGTACGTATAAATATTAATGTACGTATGTGTGTTAAATAAAGAAAATATAACGTATGTCACGTAAAATTAATATATTTTCAATATTTTTATTTTTTGATGATTTTATGAAGTTTTTTCTTACATTAGACTACGCCTTGTGGTTTTGCATATTCATTTTGTTTTTACATATGCAACGTTAGTTAAAAGTATGAAATGTTTTAAACTGTGGTATCTCAACTAAATCATGGTCTGTATACCAGCGTTACATTTACATTCAGTGTAATTTTCTTTATGAGATCCATTAGAAATCCATGACGTTCAAATCTCTATAACACACGCGAAACCTTGTCAACGCACGTAAGAATACACAGTAGGAACTATATGCATTTTCAATACTTAATGCACACCAAAATTTAATTGTTTGACACAATTTAATTTTAAAAAATTAACTCTGTTGAATTAATGTAAAAATACAACAAATATGCATTTAAAATTAACTAGTTACTTTTTTTCCTCGCAATGTTCGTTTGTGTTATTTAACTTCACGACGTCACAAACGGCTCTTACGTCTATAAAGCACACCGGTTTTGAAGGGCGCTAAATTCACATCAAAGATTACCGAAATAAACAATTATGAAGAGGAAAAATTAAAGAATGTAAATATAAGCATTGAATTCATATTTTGGGATGTCTTCGGTCGTATAACACACCTAACGCGCGGTATTCAATTTGTCGGCACGGCCAGGTGTGTCATAGGACCAAAGACATCCCAAAATATGAATTCAATGCTTAAATATATGTTGGCAGTCGCCGCCAAAATTTATTTATGTGTTATTACATATAAAAATATTGTCAAAATCAAATCATAGTCTGTATACCAATGTCTTTGTGCTATTGTGGTCATTATGATAGATATTACAGCACCCGTCTATGAATTCAATGGACAGTTATTGTACATTGTCAATCCATATCATCTTATACATACCTTGCACCTCGTTTTCGTTGATATCCTTATATAGAACCTCCCTGGTGAATCTTGGGAAGAATTCATTAACAGGCTCAATGTTGATCGTGATATTATTCTTCACTGGACGAGCATACACACATTCGTATGCACTAAAATGAAGATGAAAAATAAGATGTTTATATTCTTTAGATTTAAATGCTTTGTGAAATTAATTTTATCAGATTTTATAATTACGTGGGTTGTATTTTTGTTTTTGGCCTTAAAAATATGGTTTACAATGATACGACTAAACCGGATATTCCGGTGTACTTGAAAGAAAAGATACAACAGAGTCTGACACATCTGCTTTATATTTGGGTACTTCACTTGAAAAAGATTTAATAGTAATCCAACAACCAAGCTCTATCTTAAACTTGATGACTTTGAATCGTCAACTACTTATGAAGCAATATATCTTCATCACCTGTATACGAAATTCATATCTCTTAGTTGATTCAAAACGCAATAGTATGCTCTACGTATGTGCAATTTATTAAACGTGGTAAATTATTGAAAAAGAAGTTTATGAAACAAAAATATTAGCAGTAAGTTCTATGGTCGATACAATTACCTTGTCAGTAAATACAATTTATCTTTGAATAAAATGCTGACTGTTATTTTTATACTTATTGTAGCTCTATTATTCACACACAGAATTGACGACTGATTGCCCGTCATTTCCCGATCATGACATGGACAACACAGCGGGAGTGCCGGTTGGCAGACATTGCTCACTCCTCTATGGCACCTGATCCCACCTCTGATGTTTTGGGGGTCCTTATTTACTCTGCTTCTATTTTGAATTGTTTTCTTGACTTTTGAACTTGAAAACTGTTCGTTTTCTCTGTATATATCATAATACTTAAAATACATTATTAAATTGATGTTCATGCTTACAACGTATAGTTTATAGGTTACTATAAATTAAATAAGTTAAAGAGAAGTTATCCCTTGTTTCGTTTCAGTCTAATCTGTGGATGCGATCTGTGCTGTAGTTTTTTACGCATTCATGATACATACCTAATATATAAAATGTACGTTTTCGTGGCTTCATAATCTAGATTTCCGGTAACTAGGATCTGGTTTCCACTGAGTCCAAACTCAGGAATGACTGTATCAAGTTCGTAATACTCCGTATCTGTGGCGTTCACCGTGTACACCACAAACCCCGGGGGAGCGTCTTCCCTGACAGACACCGTGGCTCCGGAACCTGGGGGACTAATGAAGACGGGCTCCCCGTCATTGCCGACGTCATGGCAATATTCATTGGCGGCTAAAACTGTAACTAAAGATAAACATTATTCACAAGGACTTTTATTTTGTAAGTTACAAATGTTTAAAATATTGAAGTCTTAAATCGGACGCAAAGAATAAATACACAATTTAAAAAACATTATATCTTAGTATATTGTATGAGCAAACGAAATGTGTCTCCAGAGAAAAATATACATCAAGATATATCTCATGCCACCTCTGAAATGTTCTATCGTTAAAATGATATTGTCCTACGGACCCGGTTTAACGATAGAATTCGTTCCGTGTATTCGTAATGTAGCAGAAAGAAACAAGGGCGATAACTCGCATAGTGCATTTAATAGGAACAATCTAGACAGTTCCGAATGTAAACATGGCCGGTAATTTGAATCGAGAGAAAAACGTTGAGAAAATTAATTGGATTTTCGTATTTATATGTATTATTTTTTGGGACAAAAGGCATAAGCAATCTCAAGAAGGTTTGTTTTGATTATTTTGGTAGTTATTCCCAGTGCAAATCATTTTATATTCTTCAAAATCGTTTCGGAGCGGATCCGCTCCGATTTGCTACAATGCAAGTATATGGGACGTATTCTAACTGTGGTGAGGGCCTGTACCGAGACACAGTTAGATTATTCTAACTAGGTTCGTGTTTGCTCTGCTCCTGTTTTCTATTGTTTTATGGACTTTGATATTAAATACCATTCGTTATGTATATATGCGTTTTATCATACGAGTTGTGAAGAATGAAGGGAGGGGGAAGACTCAACGAGTAAGATGAATCCCCCCTCCCCAAAAAAAAGAAAAAACGGAAATTCTTTTCATTCCATGTTGTACTGGTATATATATTATAATCAATATTCTACACAGCTTTCATATAGAAAATAACTTTATTTAAATTCTTCACTTTCATGCAAAACCCTATATGAAGCCACAGCTGTGGGATATCTAAACGAAAATTCCAGTAGGTGATATCTTCTGGAAAAAGGGGTAAACATCGGATAGATATATAGTGAATATATTTATTGTTCTCTATAACAAATAACTATTTCAAAATTTTAATTAAATATTGCTTACATGCAGGTTTTATAATAATTGTAATTCCCTTACAAAGATACTATAGTTAACTTTAGATACTACTATATTTTAAGATGAAATTTTACTCTTGAACTTTATTGAAAATTTAGACCCGTATAAATTTTACAATTTTTTAATGTAAAAAAACCCAACGTAATTATTTGTAAAAGAAAAATATGCAAATATACAAGAAACTTTTCTTTTTATCAGAAAAATAGTTGTGGGTATTTCTATTCTTTAAAATTAAAATACGTTCATTAAACTAATTTATATTATACATGTACATGTACATTTATTGCATGATAGTGAGGGAAATATGAAGACTTATTCAGCCAAGAATAATCATATTCCCCGAGGGCTTCGCCCGAGGGGAATATGATATTTCTTGGCTGATTAAGTCTTCATGTTTCCCAAACATTCATGCAATGAATTGTTTATTATACCGAAACAAGCAAAACCTATGAAATAAACATAAACTTTCAAATTCGGCAGCGCTCTCTAATTCACACCATTGTTAACGTTTGTCACTCTATCTCTTCTCTGAACTACAACCTTAGAGGACGGACATTTTCAAGTTTTTTTTGTTTACCTCCATCACGTCTTCACCATTTTTTTTTTTGGTTTTAAGTTTTTCTAATATATTTTTTTGCGTTTTCAGAACCATTTTCATGATGTTTCGGTTAAGTATAAGTTGTAATTCCTGGAAATGAGGATTATCGTCCTATACACAAAATTTATTTAATTTTCATCTTTATATTTTGTTTCTGCTGAAACAAGTCACTGTTATTTATGATTTTGAGAATTTTAAATTAATCATTTAACATCACAAAGGCGGCAACACACGACACTATTTAACAAACTTTTTATTTATTGAGGGAGAATAAGAAGAAGTGTTTTAGTGTATGAGGATAATAGGATAATAATTAGAATTTGACTGGTATTTGGGCTGTCAAAATATTTATTGCATTGATATGAAATTATCTTTGTGGATTTATGAAGTTCATAGTTAAAAAATTGTAATTCTAACTTTTCACTATCCTAGTTAGGTTGCTACTTTTTTTGTTAAGGTTACATAAATAAAAGTTGGCTTTAAAATATTTAATTGAATCATATAATTAAAAATGTTACAAAAAATTAGAGAAGAAGGAAAGCATCTTCTTAACCTTATACAAATACTTGTTAAAACATGTCACTAACAAAAGAGACAAAGATTGATCTTTAAATATCAAAATAGAATTTAAGAATACTTAAAAGTTTCAACAAAGCACACCAACCTTGACTGCAGCAAAAGAAAAGTACAAACAATGTGACCATTTGCTTACTCCTGTCCTGGCGCTTATCCATGTCAAAAATGTAACCAGAAGATAACCATTCTATATTTATTGGCTAGATTCTAAACCTTCGGAAATAATGGATTCACTCCTTTTCCCTTTAAAATAAATAACACTTACCTTATTTCATAAAATATTGCGTTGTTCTACATCTCCCGGACATTTAAAATAAATGTTTTTCCATGTACGTCCTCCACAGAGCGTGGATCCGATCGAGATGAAATCAAAGATACGGAATAAATAGGTGAATCTGTACCTTTAATGTTTTGATTTTAAATAAGAAATTTCTTTTGGATATTCAGTGTTTGCATACTCATTTATCCTTGTTTTTGCGATAGAGAAAACTGTTAAGATACGAGGATACCTGATCAATGGAGTATTAGATCTGGTATTAATTCTGGTATTAGAAGACCAAGGAGTGCCCGTATCAAATAGAACATTAATACCATTAATTGAGTTATTACTCTACTGAAACTTTATTTTAAAACAAGATAGCACCTTTGGTTCATGTAAATCTAGCCTTTATACTATAAGCAAAATCGATTTTAAACTGATTTCTCATAAGATAATTGTAATGCATTTGAAAGATACAAAAATTAGAAGTTATTTAGGGTTGGCTCATCGGACTGTAATCATACGCGACTCTGAAAATTTAACAGACGCATCATTTTCGATGAAGCCCAACTTCCATTTAAACAATGTGGTTAAAGAGAATCTTAAATCCTAGTGTTTGGTGAAACCCTATTTTAATGTTGAAAAACCTCTAAACTGTCAGAATGTTACATTTAAAACTTGGTAAAAAAAACGTCAGAAATTGTGTTCAAACAATGTTAATTCAAAGGGACGTAATTTGGAACATGCTGTAAAATTGTTTATGTTATTCTTTAGAAAAAATAATATTGATGATTAATAAGGAAACTATAATAAATGTTTGCTTGACAAAAAAATTACATGTGTATAATAATTTTAGTGTACATGCTAAATTTCATTAATGCGACTTGAGGCATTCAATTTTTATAACGGTTTAAAATTGTAACATATAATTTGGGACACCCTGTATGTGTTCCATGGATATTTTTATAACCCTCGCTTAAAAAGTGGGAGGGTATATAGTAATCGGTATTTCCGTCCGTCCGCTTAGCTGTTACGCTTTTGGGTACCCGTCTCTTATCCGCAACTCCTCTCATACCACTGAAAGAAATTTATTGAAACTTTCACAGTTTCTTAATTACATATTGCCATTGTGCACCTCCTATTTTACTTTTTGATCTGACATATATTTTTGATTTTCCAGAGCAAAACATGGACATTACCATTATATTCATATGAGAGGCAGGGGTATCATTTAGTGAGCTCATTGCTCACAGTATCTCTAGTTTAATACTCAGATCGGAACAAGTCCTTTTTAATGATTATAAATCAGTTTTAATCTGTTTTTAAAATAATCATGTGCTTTACAACAATTATCCTGCTTGTTATTAAACCCCCCGCTTGAAAAACGGGAGGGTATATAGTAATGGTTAATTCCATCCGTCTGTACGTACGGACGTAGCCGTCCGTCCGTCCGTCCGTCCGTCTGTTACGCTTTGGGGTACCCATCTCTTATCCGCAACTCCTCTCATACCACTGAATGAAATTTGATGAACTTTCACAGAATCTTTTTAACATATTGCCATTGTGCATCTCCTATTTTACATTTTGATCCGACACATATTTTCGGTCTTCCGGCCACAGCAAAACATGGACTTTGCCATTAAACTACTAGTATATGGGGTATCATTTAGTCATTAAGTTGGCTCATTGCTCACAGTACGTCTAGTTTTCGTTTAAAATGCAAAAAAAAAAAAAAAACTTGGGGAAAGCAGCAAATTAACCGAGGAATAGGTGTAACTCTTCTTTGGATAAGCAGTGTTTAATCGCAGAAAAATAGAAAGATCTCTATTTTTTCAAACAAGCAAACACTTGTTTGGTTATCAATCTTGAATCTACATACTGAAAATAAATAACGTTTATTTCCAAAACCATTCTCAATATATTTAGACGTTGCAAACGTTGTTGGTGTCAAAACGTTAAAAAATACTATGGCGGCGGCATTTGCGCTATTTTCATAATTTTAAAACAATTCACTGTATGAAAATTATATATCATTCTGTAGGTTATTGTATACTTAAAACATTTTAACAAAAATATTGATAAAAAAAATCCCTTTGTCAAAGATTATCAAGATATTGATTTGACTATTCCGTCAATTACGTGAAAAACGCATGTAGATCGGTTACAGGAGCGTTGCACACCCAATTACAAAATGTTGATGACTTCCTTAAAACAAACAATACAAGCATAAAATTTGGCAGATAAAATCAAATTACGATGAAGATGATGAAAATTATTAAAATTGTAATGTCATCAATCCGTATGCTCTGAACGCGTCGCTCAAAATCCAAGACAGATGTGTAGACAAGAGTTAATCGACGAAATATGGGATACAAATAAAAAGTCTTCGGTTTCTTTAAATAATAAATACATGAGCTAAATTTATTTTGAAATTACATCTCAATAATCGTTTTTGTGTGTTGAGAACTATTTATTTATAAAAGACTGTTATTTTGGGTTGATATGTATGTTGGATTTCTTAAATTAAGCCGATTTATTGTGAGGATGTTGAATAAGATTGTGTGTCACAAAAGTTGGAGTTTCCATGTCGCAAAGCTTTTAAGATTCGTAAAATGGTAAATTTTTAATGCTGGATGAAAAATTAAAGTTGAAAATCATTTTAAATTCTACAAAATGCTGTCATGTTATCAAGGAAAAGATCTCGAGACAGAAATTTAACTTGCGGTTTCTTAAATTTTAAAAATAACTGCTGTTTCACATATATGTACTTCATGAAGCTATATGTCACAATTGAATTTGACGGCAAAAACGTCACATTTAAATGCTTACTTCAGCAATTACCTTCATTTTAAGAATTTATTTTTCTGATTAGGCACCAAACGACATATAATACAAAATGTGCAAAATCAAAACTTTATTTAAGAGATAATGTATCATTTTTGAGTTTTATTGGTCACATGATCAAATCACATAATGCCCGAAGGGCTTTAGTGAAGATTTTATCATGAGCCAACCCGTTTTACATCCTAATAAAACTAAAAAAAAATGACTTCTTATTACTTATATTTACATTTGTGACTTATTCATACTTTTAAATTTACCTGATTGTGACTTTAACGCGTGAAATGCATTAATTTTCAAACCCAACGGCATGTATGTAATCCACTGACCCTTTATTGCGTCACTGAGAAATTACGTCGAACGTTTATCCATACTCATATCTATGACCTCTTGACCCCTTACTGTATTTATACAGTTATAAAACGCTTGCTTTCAGTAGTGTTATATAAAGGAAAACATTTGCAAATGTAAATATTTAGATATGAAACTGAATTGATTCTATAAAGCAGTGTTTGTTTTACAGGCTCATGTCAACATAAATGTCATACATAGTCCAAAAGAAATAATCTAACTATAATTGTATAAATGTGGTAAAATAAAGCATATGTACGAGGGTTGTCCCCCTGTGGACAAGTTGTCTAGTTTTAAAAATAATCATCACTGCGTTCTGAAATTTTCACTACTCTTTAGTACATATATTATGAATATACAGAGCAAATTTCAAATAGATATATGCATAAATAAACAAATTATTATTTATGTTATGAAATGTATTGTATCGCCCTACGGCGCACGGATGATAACGTCAAAGTGTCTAAAACAGCCTCATGTTTCATTTTTGCTTAAAATATAGTTGGATAAGTCCTATTTAAATTAAAAAATTCCATTTATTTACATACACGAGTGTCTATAACCAGATAAGGAATCCATCTGGCACACACATGCAATCTTTTGAAAATTCATCAGCAAGTTTTGGATAGTACTCTTACCAGCATTCAAATAACAGCTAGAGAATCTCATATCAACGGTCAACAATGACAGCGTTATTTGCTATAATACAATAGCAGTTTGTCCGTATATTTTGTACTACCTGAGGACTCAATCAAAAAGAATTCGCTAAGAAAACCTTTTTTTCATTTATATACTAAGATCTGGTGAGTTTTTGTCATGTTTTCTTTCTTTTGTATTCATTTAAAGACCCTTAAGGTGTCATAACAACATTCAGATCTAACTGAACTGCTCTCTGGAGCGCCGTAACGTCAACAAAAATCACGATTTTTTGTGTATAGTGTTTACAACTTTCTAATTTCGAATGCACAGGAAACTGCCAAAAATTCACCAAATGCCTTGAAATTTTTACAATGACGACAAAATTGATTAAGGAATCAAAATATGATACTTTTCATCCCAATTTTATGTATTGAAAACTTTTATAACGAATTAATTCTTGTGTATTCTCTTATATAACCTTGTTATTTTTACCGTGCGCCGTACCCTGTGCACATTCAAGCATAATAAAATCTTTATTTTTGTCTATATATTATCAAAAACAAAATGATGAATTTAAATATGATGAATAAACATTTACACTGTACTGAAAATTTCAGCTTAGTGCGCCCATTATTTTTCGAGAAAAACGCTTTGTCCATGATTTTACGGGACAACCCTCGAATAGTCATTAAAAATATACATATTAAAATTAAAAGATATTTATGAAATGTGCATCTTTTCAAAAAGTTATTAGTATATTCTAAAATAATTTTAATGGAATGGTGACAAAATCATAAAAATATAAATGTCAACATTATTGTCACACACGTAAAAATTTGGCGTTTTGACATTATTACGTTCAATTCATAAAACGTAATCTAAAGTGTCAAAATATTTCCCAAAAACGAGGGGCGTTCAGTATTATTTGTCCAACCCATATTACAGCAACAAAAACGAAATAGAAATTTAAATCATTTATTGCATTCCCTCAAAGTAAACTCTCTTGTATTTAATACACAGATGAAGTCTTTTAATCCAGTCAAAAAAAAACTTTTTTGTAAGTTTTTTTTTTTGGGGGGGGGGGGGGGTAATGCCCCTTAAATACTGAAAAATAGCTGATCCCAGGCGCTGACCACGATAGAAAACGCCTTCCAGAGAGAGCTTCTTTTAGTTTTGGAAACAAGAAAAAGTCACAAGGAGAAAGATCCGGTGAATATGCAGGATGCGGAAGTTCGACAACTTTGTGCCGCTGTAAATAGTCTCGAGTAACTTTTGCTTTATGGGCAGGAGCATTGTCATGCAA